AAAAAAAACAAAACTCCAGAAAAAGAACTAAATGAAATGGGCATATGCAACTTATCAGATGCACAGTTCAAAACACTGGTTATCAGGATACTCCAGGAACTCAATGGGTACTTCAACGGCATAAAAAAGACCCAGGCAGAAATGAAGGTTGCATTAAGTGAAATAAAAATCCACAGGGAACAAACAGTGGAAGGGTTAAACCCAAGAATCAAATGAATGATTTGGAATGCAAGTGAAGAAAGAGGATTCAATCAGAACAGCAGGAAGAAAAAAGAATTTACAAAAAGGATAGGCTTTGAAGCCTCTGGGAAATCTTTAAACAGACCAACATCCAAATCAAAGGGGTGCCAGAAGGACAAGAGAAAGAGCAAGAAATTGAAAACTTATTTGAAAAATAAATGAAAGAAAACTTCCCTCATTTGGCAAAGGAAATAGACATACAAGTCCAGGAAGCACAGAAAGACCCAAACAAGATGGATCCAAAGAGGACCACACCAAGACAGATCATTATTAAAATGCCAAAGGTTAAAGATAAAGAGAGAAGCTTAAAAGTACATAGTTACCTACAAAGGAGTTCCCATAAGACGTTCAGCTGATTTCTCAAAAGAAACTTTGGAGCCCCCAGCCAAGATGGTGGCAAAAGCAGATATGGCTTGCCTCTTTGCACAACCACTTCAAAATTAACTAAAATATAGAACCACCACCAGTCAGAACCATCAGAATTTGAGCTGAATGGAAACCTGGCAACTATAGAATTAAAAACAAAAAACAAAACACACATCTATTGAACCAGTGGGAGGAGTGCAGATGTGGAACAGGCTGGTCTCTCACCCATGTGTGGTGGATAAAAATTTGGGAGTAATATCTCAAGAACAATCAGGTCTAGCTCCACCCCAGGCCCCCCATGCCAGGGTCCAGTGCCAGGAAGATAAATCGCCACATCTGGCTGAAAAAAACAGCAAGGATTGAGTCAGTGGAAGATATTTCTGGAGCCCCAAGCAGTTCCTCTCAAAAGAACCCACACACAGACTCACTTCAAGACTCACTCCCTCTGAGTTCCAGTGCCAGGGTGGCAGCTTGAAGGGCACCAGTGGCATAAAGGGAGAGGCTGAAGTGTCTGGCATCAGGGTGAACAGAGGCCACTGTTCCTTTTCTGAGCCCTTTGCCTGCAGGCCCATGTCATATTGGAGACTCCTCAACATGGCTAACACTGTTTGATCAGCCTTGGAGATCCCAAGAGACTCTGCCCCACTCAGCTTATGGGCCTACCCAAACTGTTCTTCTATATGCATATCTGGTCTCAGTTCATGCTTCACACCTTCCTAGATCCTATCAAACAAGCAACAGCTGGCCTCAGTGAACTCCAGGTCAGGCACTAGCAGCAGCCAGATTAGTTTCACAGAATGGCTTTGCCTGCGAATCTCCAAACCCAGCAAAAGTAGCCTTCTCATACTGCTTTATAGCTCGGGAAGGGCAGCCCTGGGAAAAACACAGGTGGGGGCTCACCGTGACCTGTATCCCCTGGGGATTCCCCATGGCCAGTGTACCGAGTGGATAGCTACAGATCACTTCAGAGCACAACCATGCTGCCCCTGCACAGCTGATCCCCAAAGAGGACAGAGGTTGGTGGTAAGAGGTCACAGCCAATCCTTGCATCTGACTGGCCTGGGTAAATCCCTCCCATTGACCTGTCAACAGCAACCAAGGCTCAACTACAAGAGGAGGGTGTAGTCAGCCCACCCAAAGGGCGCACCTCAAGTACCCAGCTTGGATGACAGGGGAGGCTGTGCCACTACATCCTACAGGACACAAACTACATTAGGTCCCAGTACCAAGACAAGGAGTCAAAGCAGCTTTACCTGACACATAGATATAAACACAGGGAGGCTGCCAAAACAAGGATATAAAGAAAGATGTCCCAAATGAACAAACAGATCAAAACTCCAGAGAAAGAGTTAAGTGAAATGGAGACAAGTAATCTATCAGATGCAGAGTTCAAAACACTGGTTATAAGGATGCTCAAGGAACTTAGTGAGGACCTCAGCAGCATAAAAAAGATCCAGTCAGAAACAGAGCATTCACTACTCGAAATAATAATTTACAGGGAAATAACAGTAGAGTGAATGAAGTCAAGAATCAAATCAATGATTTGGAACATAAGGAAACAAAAAACCATCAATCAGAACAACAAGAAAAAATCCAAAATGAATGAGGATAGTATAAGCAGCCTCTGGAACAACTTCAAGAGGTCCAACATTTGCATCACAGGGGTGCCAGAATGAGAGGAGAAAGAGCATGAAATTGGAAATCTCTTTGAAAAAATAATGGAAAAAAAGTCCTAAATTGGTGGGGGAAATAGACATGCGAGTCCAGGAAACAGAATCCCAATGTAGTTGGACCCAAAGATGATCGCACCAAGACACATCATAATTAAAATGTCAAGGGTTAAAGATAAAGAAGCTTACAATCAGCAAGAGAAAAGTAGAGTTACCTACAAAGGAGTTCCCATAAGACTATCAGCTGATTTCTCAAAAGAAACTTTGCAGGCAAGAAGAGGCTGCTGGCAAGTACTCAAAGTCATGAAAAGCAAGGACCTATAGCCAAAATTACTCTATCCAGCAAAGCTATCATTTAGAATGGAAGGGCAGATAAAGAGCTTCCCAGACAAGGTAATGCTAAAGGAATTAATCATTACCAAGCCATTATAATATGAAATGTTAAAGGGACTTAAGAAGATCAAAACTATGGACATTAAAATGACAATAAACACAACTATCAACAACTGAATCTAAAAAATAAAAACTAAGTAAACAACCAGAACAAGAACAGAATCATAGATATGGGGATCATTTGGAGGGTTATCAGCTGGGAGGGGAAGGGGCAGAAGAGGGATATGGTGCAAGGATCAAGAAGCATTCATTGGTAGGAAGAAAATAGGGGGATGTTAAGAATAGTATAGGAAAGAGAGAAGCCAAAGAACTTAACATGCACGACCCATGGACATGAACTACGGGTGGGCAGGATTGCTGGAGGGAAGGTGGGTACTGGGTGGCAGGTGGCAAAGGGAAAAAATAATTGGGACAACTGTAACAGCATAATCAATAAAATATACTTTAAAAAAAACAAAAACAAAAAGAAACTTTGCAGGCTAGAAGAGACTGGCAAAAAGTATTCAATATGATGAAAAGCAAGGACCTACAGCCTAGATTACTCTATCCGGCAACACTATCATTTAGAATTGAAGAGAATATTAAGTGCTTCCCAGAAAAGGTAAAGCTAAAGGTGTTCATTATCACTAAGCCATTATTATATGAAATGCTAAAGGGAGTTATATAAAAAATACCAAAACAATGAACATTAAAATGGCAATAAATTCAAAACTATCAATTGAATCCAAATAACAAACTAAGCAAACAAGCAGAACAGGACAGAATCATAGATATGAAGATCATCAGGAGGTTTATCCATTGGGAGAGGGAAGAGGGAGAATGAGGGAAAAGGTGAAGGGATCAAGAAACACAAATTGGTAGGTACAAAATTGACAGGGGATGATCAGAACTGTATAGCTAATGGAGTAGTAGCAGAAAATCAGCAAGGACATGAACAATACTGCCAACAAACTTGACCTAACTCACATTTATAAAACTTTCCATCCAATAACAGCAAAATTCACACTATTCACAAGTGTACCCAGAACATTTACCAAGATAAACCATATTCTGATCCATAAAACAAATCTTAGTAAATTTAAAACGATTCAAATCATAACATGTTCTCAAGCTACAATGTAATAAAATTAGAAATCAGTAACAAAAACATTTTGGAAAATCTACACATATTTGGATAAGTAAACACTACTTCTAAATAACCCATGGATCAAAACAGTCCAAAGGAAATTATGAGGTATTTTGTCCTGAATGAAAAGAAATATAAAACATCATAATTTATGGGATGCTAATAAAACAGAATGTAGTGGGAAACGTTGCAGGACATAAGATCAGCATGTAAAAATAAACTGTACACCAGTATTTTGACCTTAACTTTTTAATGAAAAATTGAAAGTTAGATTTTTTAAAATGATACTGTTTACTACATCAAAAATATGATAGGCTTAGAGATAAATTTGACAGAAGATGTTAAAGATTTGTATCCTGAAAACTATAAATATTGCTGAAATTAAAGACAAATAAATGGAGAGGCATACTTTATTCATGAATCAGAGGACAATACTAAGATGTTACTTTTTCTCCCAATTTATCTGTATATTTAATACAATCCCAATCAAAATCCAAGCAAGAATTTGTGCAGAAATTCATAAACTTCTGCTTCATCAAAAAAATACATGAAAATGAAAAAAGTCACAATTATGCATATGAAAGGGAATCTGATACCTAGAGAACACTCCAAATACAACCATTAGAACTTAACTCAATTTTTAAAATGATCAAAAGATATTAACAGATATTTTACCAAAGAACACATACATAATGATGAATAAGTTCATGAAAAGATGTTCAACATCACAGGTCATTAGGAAAATGCAAATTAAAATCCCAATGAGACAGCAATATAAGCCTATTAGAGCTAAAATTAAAAAGGCTGACGATACCAATGTTAGCTAGGATGTACAAAAACTGGAACTCTCTCATATACAGGTGGGGGAAACAAAGTGGTACAATCACTTTGGAAAATAGTTTCTTAAAAAGTTAAAGATTTACCTACCATATGATCCGGCCATCCCACTTATACTACTTCTAAGAATTTACCCAAGAGTGTAGGATATATATGGTCCATACAAAGACTTATATACAAGTGTTCACAGCAGCTTTATTTGTAATAGCCAAAAACTAGAACAATCCAAATGTCCATCAACAGGTGAGTAGATAAGAAATTTGTGTTATACTAAGAAATAAAAACAATGAAATATTGATACACACAACATAAATGAATCTCAAAATCCTTACATTGAATGGAAAAAAGACTGCTCTCTGCATTGATAGTAGCTCTCCTGCCACAGCCCCCCATTCCCTGAAAGTCTGCCCTGTACCAAATTCATCTCCACCACCTTCCTTGTCAGGAGCACTTCTCAGCTGCTGAGCCAGCCACTCTTTCACAGTCGTGCTGAAACAAACTGGGACACTGGCTGATGAGAGCAAGCCTCATGTGCTTGGCAGCCTCATGTCCCCTGATCTCTCTTATCCCTAGCCATAACTTCCAGACCAGTGCCATTTCAATAGACAGTGACCAGCAGCCAGGTTCACTGGGACTGAAGCTGCCATAACAGCTGGCTGGCTCGGGCTGGGATTGGAACTGTGTTTGGGAGCCTCATCATTGCATCTGGCAGGCACTCTTCTCTGAAGCAACAGCTCTTCTCCTATATCATTCTGGGCTTTGCCCTCTCAGAGGCCACAGGGCTCTTTTGCCAGATCATAGCCTTTTCTGACCTCTTTTCCATGTTAAGAAGCCCTTTCCAGCTGCCATAGTTCTTTCTCCCAAGTCTCGTCTGCCCTGTATCTTCCTTTTCCTATACATTCTCAGGCAGCATAGGGAAAGCAGATGGCTCAGGGTCTGACTAAGGGAAAACAAATACTGTATTAATAAGAAGGGGGAAAATGTCATATCAAAAAAAAGTACTATATGATTCCATTTATGTAAAATTCTAGGAAATACAATCTATAGTGACAGAATACATTATCAGGGGTTCTGGGGAGGCAGGGCGTGCAAAGGCACAGAAGAGAATTTTGGTGGTGATGGTTTTATGGGTGTTTTCAAATGTCAAAACATCAAATTGTGCACTTCAGGTGCATTCAATTTATTGTGTATCAATTATACTTCAACAAAGCTGGTTTTTAAAAACACAAATTTCTGGGTTCCAACTCTTAACAATTACCCAATTCATTAGATCAAAACCAATCATTTCAATAGTTCCTAAGGAAGTCTTAAACAATATTCATTTAATAGTAAGTATGACAACTCTGGAATATAAAGTTACTATTTTTCAGAAGTATTTCAATCTAGAAGCAACTCATACTACAATGTATTCATACTGGTTGTGTTGGAGTAAGTAGCTAGATACTGATGAGATAAAAGGGAGCAAGGCTGGTTGGGCTTGATTGAGTAGGAGGTTGCAGCTTTGCACACTCCAGGGGATGGTGGCATTGTCCCACCCAAGGATCGGTGCCCCTGTTCCCCCATGTAGGGAGGGGTGTTCTCCCCTACAGCAGCCAGCTCTCCAGTGCTGGGACTGGCAGGGGGAGGGAGTGGATTCCTCTACTGGGTGCATGCCAGTGGAGGCCAAGATGGTTGTCTGCAGGAGATCCTTCTGCTGAGGCATATGCAGTAGAAGCCAGGGTGGCAACCATAAAGGAGAGATCTCTAGCCTGGGGAAAGGATCGGATTGGATAAGGAACATATAAACCCCAGAGTTTTGAGAAATGGATTGGTCTGGGGGAGGAGGGCCCAGCACAAGCCCACAGAAGACTGGGAAAGAGATTGTTCAGTTTGAAAGCCCAAGGTAATATAAGCAAAGCTTAACAAAGGCCATAATTAAGAGAAGTGTAACATGTGCTTGTTCGCTCATTCTTAGTGGTAGCAATGCAGGCCTAGCACCTGTCCAGGCCTAGGCATGGGCTCCAAGTGCAGGCCTGGGTATAGCAGCACAGCTGGAAACAGAGGCAAAGCTAGCCAGATGGGAACAAAGGCTGAACTGGACTAGGCTTTGGCAATAGCACAGAGTTTCTGAACCCTGGCTCTTTTTCTGGGTTTGAAGACAAGGCTGGACTTCTTCCACAGCAGGATGGACAGAGATAAGACACGGGGAATCTGGGGGCAATCTTATTTCTCCCCCCATAGATCTTACCTACACCTCATCCTCTCATGTATGGGTCCACGGAAATGCTTTTTTTGCAATGCCGTGGAAGAACCCCATTTCCATTGCAACAGTTTCTATGAAAAAACAGGAGGGACAGCAAATAAGATGAAGGATCCGTGAAATTTAGCTTTCTAATGGCTAAGCAGAGATGATACTATGATGACAAAATGAATCGTAAGGCAATAATGAACAGAAGAACCCAAGCCTAGTGATGATGCTAGTAAAATACAATGAGACCTAGGATTATTGGACAACAATAATCTTAATTAGGAGAAAGGCATTCAAGTAACTGTGTGGCACTCAAGTAATGGGTAGCACAGAAAAGCTGGTGTTCAGAAGTGAAGGAGTTACACTGGAAAATAGGATATAGCAGAATGCTACTGCCATATTTTTCTCCCCTCAACATTTATGCATCATGTGATAGGCAATGTTGTAACTGCAAAATAAAGGTCATAAACCTATTTCATTAAGCAACCATCAACTTAAAACTTGCTTTTCTAAAAATTGGTTATTTTTAAGTATCATGATTCTCTACCTTACATCAAATAGCTTTACCTATTTCAAACAGGGAAGTTTAATTAGAAAAACATTCTAGATGCTGTTTTATTAACAAATGGTAATTTCTATTTGTATAATATATACTACAATTCAACCAAATTGTAGATGGCATATATCTTAGGAATGTGAAGGGATATCAAATTATTCATGATAATTTAGTCATTATTTAGTATATTTTGTTTAACAAATAATATCCATAATTAAGAGAAGTGTTTTATCTTCCTCAATTGTTTTTAGAGGACTAATATTTGAAAGTCAGTAAAATTCAGGTGTACAAAAACAAATGAATTAAGTTATGAGCAAGTGAAAACAAAAGGACAATTTTTAATGGCATCACTTTTAAATGTACTGAAATATTTTATAGCATCCTTTGAAGAATATTACCCAGTAACTTAAAAAAAGAGTAATATCCAACATATTTTATTATTAATAAATTAAAATCCAAAGAACAGTATCATATACTTGCTACTTACAAAAATGAAGAGGAAGAAATAAAAGTAATTTGAGATTTAAAGTTAAAAAAGGAAAAGGTAGCAAACAAAAGACAATCTAACAATACCTAGATTATTAAGCTAAAAAATTTTCATCAGGACATTTCATAATCAATACATTGCTAAGAAGAATGTGAGATCACTTAGTTGATGTCTTTCATTAAAGTGGACTATTCATCTGTTCATAGAGTAGTAAACAGAAGAAGGTTTTCATGAGAATTTTAAAAAGTTAGGAAGTAAAAGGAATCCCATAATGCACATTTCATTTACTGTGCATTTTTTAAAGCATTCCAACCTTATTCAGAAATAATGCAAGATATTCAAGTGTTTTAAAATCAAAGGCCTTTAATTCGGTTTTCAGTAATGACCATAAATGCCTTCACAAAACCTCTTTTTTCAATGAAAACAGAAGGCACTAGGCATTACATAACACCCTGAAAGCAGTGATTTCTTCTGATGCTGGTGGAGATAAACATTAAATGGCAGGTTTTAGAGCTTAACAATGTCTCCTAAAAAGGGGGGGGAGGGGTAGGGAAGGAGGATAACTCTGAAAATCACCCCAAAATTAAGTTACCAGTCAGTCTTTCTTGGATACCCAGTGCAATTTTAAATTATTTTTACAAGCAATTTGAAATTAATAGATAAACCAGGTTAAGTATGTTAGGGTTTTCAATGTTCGTTAGGTTTTATTTAAATATAGTAAATATAAAGATAATCATGATGCTAATTGGCATCATTTGATACTCATTAGCTATGCTAAACAAACTTGAAATGATACGTTCTGTAGTAATTTAAAATATCCTTGATATGACACTAACAACTTTTAAATTCTAGTGACAAAGTGCATATAAATTGTGAGATTATTAAAATATACCTTTTGAAAAAATAATAAGATGATCATTTATATCTAAATAGGGTTTCCCAAAAAGATATGAAATGCTTTAGCAATTTAAAAGTAGTTGTCCCTTTTCCACAGGGTAACTGCTGTTTCACAAAATAACTCATATGATCTGAAACAAATCATTTCTTTCAAATGCCATATTCTCTGACTTTGAGGTATGCTTTAAGAGACTATACCCATGAGAAAAGAGCATATTTGAGTATAGACCACAGTTACAAACACAAGGAGCTTTTCTTGAGCCAGGAGTTATATTAACAGAAAAGGATAGCTTCTGAAGCCATTTCTTTTACAAACACATAAAACTAAATTTGTTTGTTTACTTGGAGGGTAATTCAAGAAGCAGCTATTTACATATGTGCTAATGTCTTATGTGCCTATTTTAAACAGTGGCTTCTGTAGGACACTCCTCTTCTAACACAAACCAAACACTTTCGGTAGAGTAAACCACCAAACACCTTTGGTAGAGTAAACCAAACCACAATCTTCTATTTTTGGCAAGGTAGTGTAAAAAAACAAAAAACAAAACAGAAACAAAAAACTAGCTATAACAGTGATTCAGGCAAAAGTTCCCAAGTCAAACAACAGTAGGAAAAGTGTTCTGAAAAATACTAATTTTGGGGTGGGGAGGACCCTAACAAACATAATGCTGAAAATCTTATAATCACTCAAGTGACTGTGATATAAAATGTTTATGAATGTCTTTAAGAATATTTCAGTTTAAAAAGTAGCTGATTATGAGGTTTATAATTAAATGTCTCTGAAAAACATACAAACTAATTAACTTAAAAAGGAAGCAATTAATAAAGGTTAGAATGGAATTTACTCTTCCATAATTAATATGAGATGCCTTCTTGCCTTCAGAGAAACTGATTAAATTTGAAAATGGTATAAAAAATAATGAGAGGCCTTGGGCAGGTAGCTCAGTTGATTAGGGCATTGTCCTGATATATCAAGGTTGTGGGTTCAATCCCCAGTCAGGGCACATACAAGAAAGTAACCAATGAATGCATCAGTAAGTGGAACAACAAAAGGATTTTTCTCTCTTTCTGTCCTTTCTTCCTTCCTTCTTTCTTTCCTTCTTTCCTTCTTTCTTTCTTTCTTTCTTTCTTTCTTTCTTTCTTTCTTTTTCTTTCTTTCTTTCTTTTCTTTCTCTTTCCATCTTTCTCTCTCTCTCAAATCAATAAATAAAAATAAAAATGAAATGAAACATACATGACAATTGGAAAAAAAATACCATGCCACTACTAATAACATGATGGGAAGCAAGAAACATATTGTTTTTTAAGCAATTATGCAAAAGTATGCCTTACATAATTACATATCATAATCAAGAAGAAGCTTCAAGACTAGCAGCTGGGTTTTGTGAAACATGTAGGACAACAGAAGGCACTACAAAAGCATTAATTACTTCTAACTACAGTCGGACAGTTCAGTCTTTTCCTTCTTCTTAAGAAGATAGCCAGTGTGAATGCTATTTTTATATCCCCCTGAGTTGAACATGATTGGGCAAAGCAGCACCAATTTAAAAAAATATTGGCAGTGCCAGCACTGCAGTTTGGAATCACTTATACTGATGGCCCCACAGGTCTCTCATAAGAGCACTTTAGAACACGATTAAAAATATAGAAATGCCTTCAGATATCCATTTTTTTAAAATAATGCACTAAAAAGTCAGAACAGCCTTTCCACCCTGTAGCTAGCATTTACAGCTATCTTCCACTCCAGATCTCCTTTGTGAGTCCAACTGAAATGTCAGTATACTTCATGATGCACACACAGTCCTTTTGGCTGGAGAATCCTGGCAGATATCACGTCATGCCTGTTTTGAGTAGTATGCCTTGCAGGTCCTCTGGCAATGCCAAGATAATTGCGTCTATGTGTGTCCGTAACTTTTCCATGGTTTCAGGTTTCACAGGTAAATGCTCTCGATCAGCCTGCAGCTACAGAAGGAACATTTGGAAGCATTTAAATTATCCTTTGAGACTGTATTAATACATTGTGTTTTCTAAATAAACATTTTTAATGGTCTAATGATTTGGAAACTTCGAACTTCAACCAGAATTTACAGAAACTATAAAAAAGCAAGGAACATGCCATTTAAACAATATACTGTTTGAATTCAGTAAAGGACTTCTATGTAAATTGATAATACTTTGTGCATACCACGTAGTATTAAATATAAGTGACAATAGTTCTGTAGAGCTCATTAGATTCCATGTAAATACTTTTAAAATAATATGGCAACATTATGATCTGCTTGCATGACCAAGTATTTTCAGACAGATCTACCATCAACTGACCAATCTCCAGTCCTCTCATTTAAAAAGGTTACGTCTGATATATCATGGACTGTTACCTCAAATACGAAGAAAATATGTGCAAAGATCTTTGCCTGTTTGGGCTACATACCAGCTTACTTTTTAGTTTCAATACAAGGTCTACTGTTTCTACTTCTGTGTGTTTCTGGGTCCAGAGAAGTAAATCCTACAAGAATAAACAAATCCCAAATCATTTAAGTACTCAAAATCCTTTTAAAACTACTCTATTTCAATAGGTAAAACTACTGATAAGGACAGGAAGGAAAACGAGAACAGGTATTTCACCCAGATATAGAGTTATAGTACAAAAATAATTCTGTATGTAATAGTCTAACAATGTTAATTAGATAATTTTCAACATTAGCCAGGACATTTGTTGAATGTTTGGCAGTAAAATAAAATTTAAGAACTTCCTTTCTGAGGTAGCCCTTTTAGATCAATCACGAAAAACAATACTGCAACTTAAAATACAATACTCACTCCTACCCCACTAAATACTGAGTACTTGAATTTATAAGGAACATGACTAACAAATGAAGGTAACTGTGAACATAAATATAATACTGAATGTAAACTTTGCATATTCACATAAGCTCTTCCTGGACTTATTTGTGGTTGTCTTCATCGTATTCCTTCTCTTAAAACTATAATCACCACAAGTTTGTGATAGAAAATTTACACTGAGGCTAGCCCATCTCAAGCTAAATATAAATGAAAATGAGACTATTCTTTATATTTTCACTTACTTTAAAACAGTTTGGTAACATATTACAGAATATCAAAAATCTGTCCAAATACAGGGAAAAAATGTTAAAAGTAACTGGAAGAGGTTAATAAGGCATGCTAGAAAAAATCTGGAGTTAGACTGCTTAAATTTGAATCCTGACTCTTCCCAGTGGTATGCTGGAAAATATTTAACAACCAGAAAAAGTCTCTGGTTTGTACCATTTGTCAGTTTCTGTGGTATTATATGCCCACTATAGCCAATTTCAAACTACTAACTTGAGATCAGTGAATGCGGAGTGGGGAAAGAGATGTATAGTCAGCTCTTATGAGCCAATGCAGTGGGCTCTAGCTCCCTGCCTGCTCTTTTACTTAGCAGTGATGTGATCTGAAGCACGTAACTCAACTAATAATCTTCAGATGTCCCATAATGCAGATCACAACAAACCTACTTCAATGAAATATAAAAATTAAGACATCATCCCTATAGAGCACCTACACAGTCCTTAGCAAAGAGCATAGGATCTAGAAAAGCAAGCTATTACTATTTATAAAGTAGTAGTTATGGATTGTTTTCCAGCCTGTAAGGGTAACTTTTTTTTTTTTTTTTTAATATTTGTTAATATCACACAAGCATGCTATACTCTAACCTCTTTACAAAGAGCCTCTAGATGGAGTGCCTCCAATTTCTGGGTCATTTCCTTCCGCCGGGTCTTGAACCAACCATCAAAATTTGGGGATTTTAGAAAATGCCTATAAAAATAAATTTTAAAAAAGCAAGTTTGATTATGATTTACTTCTTCTCCTTAATATCTTTCCTAATATCCAAGAACTATGTGAAACAATGGAATTCTGAACTAAAGAACTTAGGTCCAGTTTTTTATTTTGGGTGTCTTTTTTGGTTTGTTTTTATTTTTTTTTAAGTAAAGCTCTACAGATGGGTGAAAAAGAATAAAGAAGACTAACCGGTAAAGTCCAATCCAATCGCCTTTTATTCTAGAGGTCAACTGAGGTCCTGTTTTCTCAAGTGTTTTCATAAATTCTTCTGGAAGGAATGGTCTTAATTGAGGTGGACTCTAGGAAAAAAGAACAAACTATATTTAAAATTAGAAATGGATATGTTAACAGAAAGTATTACAGTTAGAGGACTCTAGTAGGAACTTAATTGAATATATTTATACCTTCCATGGAGAAATACTTTTCTGCAAAGGCATCAAGCTTGCCACATATCTTTCCTAAAATCAAGAAAATAAAGTTTATCAAGTTAGGTGTTCTTACCCAGAGAGTCTTCCAAAACATTTAAATAGACCTACTTAAAAAAATGGGTTTCCAAGTTTTTCATCGCATGGTCTGTCAATGGACATCAACATCATCACCCTTCATAATGATAAAGCTAAATTCAGATTGAATCAAGAAGTCAGACGTTCAATAAAAATGTACCTAACCTTAGCTAACCCAAGCAACTACACATTCTTAAAGATAATAATTAACTTTCCACAAAATACACTCAACATTTAAAAATGTATAATCTCTTTTAATCCTTGCAACCATCCTATGTGGCAAGTATTATTAGGAACCCAGGGTTTCAAAAGGCTAAGTACCCTGCCTTCAAAAGGCTAAGTACCCTGGCCCAAGGCCACACAGTTTAAACCTCAATTCAGATCTACTTGATTTCAATCCATGCTCTTAAGCACCACAGAAAAGTTCATTTATGTAAACAAATGTAAATGGCATAAAACAAACTAACATCCACAAAGCAAGAAAGAATATTTCTTGCAAATATATAATAGCAAAGATCTCCAGATTACCCTCACATAGTATTCACAGATGGATTACTTTACACTAATAATTACACGGACCTGACATCAAACTCTATTACACGGTCACTGTAACCAAAACAGTCTGGTACTGGCATAAGACCAGACACATAGATCAATGGAACAGAATAGAGAGCCCAGAAAGAAACCCATGTCTCTACTGTCAATTCATATTTGACAAAGGGGCAGAAGCTTAAAATGGAGTAAAAATAGCCTCTTCAACAAATGGTGTTGGGAAAGCTGGACAGCTAGCTACATGCAAAAAAACCTGATATTTGACCACCAACTTACACCATACACAAAAAACCCCCCAAGATGGATAAAAGACATATATAAGTCGCAGCACCAAAAAAGCCCTAGAGGAGAACATAGGCAGGAAATTCTCAGATATTCCACGCAACAATATTTTCACCAATATGTCCCCTAGAGCAAGGGATATAAAGGAAAGAATAAACAAATGGGACTTCATCAAAATGAGAAGCTTCTGCATGGCTAAAGAAAACATCTGCAAAGTGAAAAGGAAACCAACCATATGGGAAAATATATTTGCTAATGATACATCAGACAAGAGTTTGATTTCCAAAATATATCAAGAACTCACACAATTCCCCTCCAGGAAGACAAACAATCCAATTAAAAAATGGGCAAAGGACCTGAACAGACACTTCTCCAAGGAGGACATACACAGGGCCCAGAGACATGTGAAAGGATGCTCAGCATCACTAGCCATCAGAGAGATGCAAATTAAAACCACAATGAGATATCACTTCACACCAGTCAGAATGGCCATCATTAGATCATTAAATGGTCATTTGTCCTTTGGGAAAAAAGACAAAGGACAAATGCTGGCGAGGTTGTGGAGAAAAGGGCACCCTAGCACACTGATGGTGCGAATGCAGACTGGTGCAGCCACTGTGGAAAACAGTTTGGAATTACCTCAAAAAGCTCAAAATGGAACAGCCTTTTGACCCAGAAATTCCACTGCTGGGATTATACTCCAAGAATCCCAAAACACCAATTCAAAAGAACCTATGCCCCCCAATGTTGACAGCAGCAGAATTTACAATAGCCAAGTACTGGAAACAGCCTAAGTGCCCATTAGTAAATGGGATGATCAAAAAACTACAGTACATTTACACAGTGGAATACTACACAGCAGAAAGAAATTGGCTTCACAACAGCATGGATGGAACTGGAGAGCATTATGCTAAGTGAAATAAGCTGGAGGTGAAGTCAAGTACCATATAATCTTACCTGTAAGTGGAACCTAATCAACAAAAGGAACAAGCAAGAAAAATTTAACCAGCAGCATTGAAAGAAAAAAGAAACTGACAGTAATGAGAGGGAAGGAGGAAGGAGGGTTACAAGAAGAAGAACGGGAAGGGTCAAATCAAGGAACATGTATAAAGGACCGATGGACAAAGCCAAAGTGGGGAAGGACTGAGGGTGGGAGGTGGGGGTGGGTGGGGTAGGGAGAAGTGGTGTTGGGAAAACAAAGACAAATGTATTTGAATAAAAAATAAATAAAAACAACAAAAAACTACATGGAATCTCTCTTGTACCCATTTTACAGACTAGGACCACATTATGGTACCGCCTGCTTCTGTGAGGCTTCACTTAGTATTTTAATGACTTCCTATGAATTTCATGGAATATCCACAGCATTCAGTTATGTATCCCATAAATGTTTATTGAGTGCTGCCATATACCAAACTGAGAAAAAGATAATAAGAAAGACAGGTAAGACCCCTGTCATCATGTAGCTACAGTTATGATACCAAACTCTGTTCAAGAAAATAAAATCAGAGAAAGAAGCTACAGAATAACCTATTAAGGTGCAAAATGCAACAAATATAGAACACTTTACTACAATTATTTCATTTAAGATATTCATAACAACCTGAAAGGTATTTAGAAAAAAATTGGAAAGAAACTGAGGTAAGAAAAAGGAAGTGACTTTCCAAAGTCACACAGTTAATACAAGAACAGAGTCCAGGTCTCTTGCAAAGGACTCTATTTTTTTAATCACTAAGCACATGAGCAGACACAACACATCCATTAATACAAGATTTTGGTGGATGGGAAAAACATTCATATAACCTTCAACAAATCATTAAATTAAGTAAATGTATATGTTAACTTACTAATGGAATGATGAAACTTTGTGTCAGTTCCAAGAAATAGCGTCGCAGAATAACACTCTGAGCCTCAGAAGGACGTTTCTGTTGTACACCCTTAAAAGAGGAAACAATAAGAACCTATATCCTAGTGTTAGGGAATATAAACCAATGGATAATTACAAAAGTTCAACTGATATATAATATGTATACATATATTACCTGATATAAAACAAGCCCTAGAACTTTTATCTTGAAATTTAATCTGAAATTCAATATACTGTGGAAAAAATTCTTAAAGAAAAACGTAAAACATTCACCTCATACTTAAAAGTATCACAATGTTCACAATGAAGACTGCCTTTATTTCATACTTGCTATATTAATACTACTTACATTTTCCAAAATGTATCCATCCCCTACTGTTTCTAACTATCCCTTACTGTTAATGTTTTTCATTATAACTTCCAAGTGTCTAGGAAGATAGGCACTAGGTTGCAGCTCCAGCTCCCAATTTTAAGCCTATAGTTGCTGCTACTGTAGTCTCCTGATTTTTATGAAACTTTGGTTCAAAAGAGAGACCTCATTTCATATCATTATACATAAAGCACACACTGCCTAACTGGATACTGCATACCTGAATAAGAAAATTTAAATTGGTAATATAAGTAAATAATTACCTTCTGTAATTGTTTTATGATCTCTTCATCTCTACTTAGATATGGCTTATAAGAAGTATAAACTCCTAAGAAGTAAAGAAAACAAGGTTAAAAGGGTTTTTTTTGTTTTGTTTTCTTTTTACCATGTACCCGCATATGTATAGATTTTGAAATTAATAAAAGTCAATACCAGGTTTAGAATCCAGCGTCTTTAGGTTCTTCAATTTCTTCACTTTAACCTGCTTAGGAATTTCACCTGAAGGAAACATCAGAAAGATTCTGAGAATTATTCAAATTTCACATCACAAAACTGAAATTTCTTAAGATTGATAATTGACTTACTATTTTCTGTTTAGTTGGGAATATTATAGCTAATGTATTCTTCCTAACATCATTTAATGTTCAAGAACTTATTACTGGTAGTTTAAAACAGGATAAAGGGAATACCAGATTATGACAGTATTACAGAAGCCATTTGTGTAAATTATAGAAAATGGGTAGTTGATTTTTCATTAATATCTATCATTACTTAAAATTTTCCCGTTACTCAACTTGTAATTTAAGATATATGTGCCAAATACATAATATTGAAAATGCACATACCAATAGAAATAAAATACCCTCTAAGAATAAATGGAATTAAAAGCAACTCCTTAATTAAAATGCAAATATAGTATTCAAAGGTTTTTTTCTGACACCTTCCAAAATTCTACTTTCGCAGAGTAGAAACTTACACTGCCATCCGGTGGTGACAGTGTATGCCCCAACCACAGGTCTGATTCACAGAGGGGCAGGATTCCTGAGTAGGGCTGCTGTGAATAACTCCTGTACAACATGTAGTGGTTCTAGTCTTAAGCTATAGAGAAGTTACAATCTAAACCACCCTAACTGGCAAGAAAATACCTCAAGTTAAACACTTAAAGTGTCATACATACACAAAACATAACAGGCTTTCTTTCTCTTTTCCTTTCTCCATCTTTCCCTTCCCCTCCGTTGGTCCTAGGTCTTTTAAAAGTACCTTCACCTGCCTGAAGAGATTTCTCAGAGCAGCAAGAATATTAACTGGCAAGATATCACAAGAAAAGAAACTGCAGATTGATATCCTTCATGGATACAGATGAGAAAATCCTCAACAAGAATATTAGTAAATCAAATCCAGGAACATAAAGAACTATAACTCATGACCAAATAGGATTTATCCAGGTAATGTAAGGCTAGTTTAATGTTTAATATCCAAAAATCAATTATTATAAAATAACATGTTAGCAAAAGACAAAAACCACATAATGATTTCCATAGATACAGAAAAAGTGTTTAACAAAATTCAACACTAATTCACACTCTCCACAAACTAGTAACAGAAAGGCACTTCTTCAGCCTGATTAAAACACATGTATGAAAAACTCACTTTTAACATCATAATTAGACTTGCATACTGAAAACTACAAAACATTGCTGACAAAAAGTAAAGAAGATTTGAACAATGAAGAAACATTCCAAGTTCCTGGCTTGCAAGAATCACTATTTTTCAGGTGGCAATTCTCTCCCAAATTGATTACATATTCAACACAACTCCTGTCAACATCCAAGCTACTTTTTTTGAAGAATGACAAAGTAATCTTAAAACGTATATAGAATGCGAAAGACCAAGAATAGCGAAAACAATTTTGGAAAAAAAGAACCCAAACAACTAACATTAAAAGTATTACACTTCCAGACTTCCTGTCAAAATGGCAGCATAGTCAGTCCTGGCTCAACCCTTCCCACAACCACATCAAAAATACAGCTAAAGCTCTAGCTGGTGTGACTCAGTGGATTGAGAGCCAGCCTGCAAAACAAAGGGTTGCCAGTTCGATTACCAGTGTAAGGCACATGCCTAGGTTGCAGGCCAGGTCCCCAGCAGGGGGCATGTGAAATGCAACCACACATTGATGTTTCTCCCTCTCTTTCTCCCTCTCCTCCCCTATGTAAAAATAAATAAATAAAATCTTTGAGGAAAAAAAAAAAGAGCTAAAATACAGAACAACCATCACTTAGAACCGTCAGAAATCAAGCTGAATGGAAGTCTGGCAACTACGGAATTAAATAAACCACATCCATCCAGACTGGTGGGAGGGGTTCAGACACAAAAGAGGCTGGTGCCTCATCCATGCATAGTAGATAAAAATTTGGGAGGGGAATATTAGAAGTGAGGAGTCCCTGTCCTACCCCAGACCCCAGGCCCAGGGTTCCAGTGCCAGGAAAACAAGTCCCCACAACTTCTGACTGTAAAAACCAGTGAGGATTGAGTCCGTGGAAGAAATTTCTGGAGCTCCAAGCAGTTCCTCTTAAAGAACCCATACATGGACTCACCTACTCAGACTCGCTCCCTCTGCGCTCCAGCACCAGGGTAGTAGCTTGAAAGGCACCAGTGGTACACAGGGAGTAAATAAAGTGTCTGGCATCAAGGCCAGCAGAGGCCATTGTGCCTTTTTTAAACCTACCACCCACAGAGCTGGCAAGCTGGTGCCATATCTGAGACTCCACCAACAAGGCTAACACTGTTTGACCACTTTTGGAGATCCCAGGGACTCCGCTCCTCCCAACTTATGGGCCCAACCAAGCTGCTTTTCCATACGAATGGCTGGTCTTGGCTCAGGCTTCATACCTTCTTAAATCCTATCAAACAAGCAACAGCTGGCTTCAGTGAGCCCCAGGCATGGCACTAGTAGCAGCCAGCCTAAATTCACAGCTTTGCTTCGCCTGGGAATCTCCAAGCCCAGCACAACTAGCATTCTCATTTTAGATTGCTTTATAGCTCAGGAAGGGTGGTCCGGGGCAAAACATAGGTGGGGGCTGACCTTGGCCTGCATTGCCTGGGAAACCCCAGGGCCAGCTAAAGACCACTTGGAGCACCGCCATCCTGCTCCTGCACAGCTGATCCTCCAATGAGAGTGGAGGTTGGTGGTGGTCACAGCCAATCATTGCTGCTGACTTGACCTGGGTAAATCCCTCCCATTGATCTGCTAACAGTGATCAAGGCTCAACTACAAGAGGAGAGTGTAGTCAGCCCACACAAAGGGTGTGTGCCTTGAATAACCAGCTTGGGTGACACCTACTACATTAAGTTCCAGTACCAAGACAATGAGTCAAAGCAGCTCTATACATAGAAACAAACCCAGGGAGGCTGACAAAATGAGAAGACAAACATAGCCCAAATGAGAGAACAGATCAAAACTCCAGAAAAAAAGCTAAATGAAATGGAGATAAGCAATCTATCAGATGCAGAGTTCAAAACACTGGTTCTAAAGATGCTTAAGGAACTTAATGAGGACCTTAACAGCATAAAAAAGACCCAGTCAGAAATGAAGGTTACACTAACTGGAATAAAGAACAATTTACAGGGAAATAACAGTAAAGTGGATGAAGTCGAGAATCAAATCAATGATATGGAACATAAGGAATCACAAAGCAACCAATCAGAACTGGAAGAAAAAAGAATCCAAAAAAATGAGGATAGTACAAGCAGCCTCTGGGACAACTGCAAGAGATCCAACATTCACATCATGGGGGTGCCAGAGGAGGAGAGAAAGAGTAAGAAATTAGAAATCTATTTGGAAAAATAATGAAAGAAAACTTCCCTAATTCTGGTGAAGGAAATAGACACGTTAAGTCCAGGAAGTACAGAGTCCCAAACAAGATGGACACAAACAAGTCCACACCAAGATACATCATAATTAAAATGCCAAAGGTTAAAGATAAAGAGAGAATCTTAAAAGCAGCAAGAGAAAAAAGTTACGCAGAGGGGAACTTCCATAAGATTGTCAGCTGACTTCTTAAAAGAAACTTTGCAGGCTAGAAGGGACTGGCAAGAAATATTCAAAGTCATGAAAAGCAGGGACCTACAGCCAAGATTGTTCTACCCAGCAAAACTATCTTTTAGAATCAAATGGCAGATAAAGAGCCTCCCAGACGAGAAAAAACTAAAGGAGTTCATCATCACCAAACCAGTATTATATGAAATGTTAAAGGGACTTATTTAAGAAAAAGAAGAAAATCAGCTCTGGCTGGTATGGCTTAGTGCACCGGGTGCTGGCCTGCAAACCAAAGGGTCGCCGGTTCAATTCCCAGTCAGGGCACATGCCTGGGTTGAGGGATGGGTCCCCAGTATGGGGTGCATGAGAGGCAACCACACATTGATGTTTCTCTCCTCTTTCTCCCTCCTTCCCCTCTCTCTAAAATAAATAAATAAAATACTTAAAAGAGAAAGAATAAAATCAAAACTAAGAACAATAAAATGGCAAAAAGTAAAAATGTATCAACAATTGAATCTAAAAAACAAACTAAGCAAACAAGAAGGACAGAGACAGAATCATGGATACAGAGACCATTTTGTTGGTTGCCAAATGGGAGAGGGGTGTGGGTGAATGGGTGAAGAGGTGAGGGGATTAAGAAGTACAAATAGGTAGTTACAGAATAGCCATGCAGATGTGAAGTACAGTACAGGAAATGGAGTAGCCAAAGAACTTATACGCATGACCCATGGACATAAATGATGGTGGAGGGATTGCCTGAGGGAGTGGGGGCTACTGGGTGGAGGATGGGTAAAGGGGGAAAAATCAGGGTAAAGGGGGACAAATCAGGACAACTGTGATAGCATAATCAATAAAACATAATTTAAAATTAAAAAAATTATACTTCCAGATTTCAAAACTTACTATAAAACTACAGTAATCAAGAGATTGTATTGCTGTAAAGATAAGACATATAGGTCAATGTGGCAGAAACAAGCATTCAGAAATAAACCCTTATATTTATGGCGAATTGATTTTCCACAAAGGTACCAATGTAAGTCAGTAGAAAAAGGATAGTCTTTTTAACAAATGGTGCTAGGACAACTAGATATCACCATGCAAAAACAATGATTTTAGACATTCAACCCACACCATAACAAAAAATAACTCAGTGATTCACAGACCCAAATGTAAGTGTTAACAGAATAAAACTTTTAGAAGAAAACATAGGAGAAGATCTTGGTGACCTTAGGTAGGCATTGAATTCTTAGATACAAAATCAAAAGGCCTATCCACAAAAGAAAAAAAAAAAAAGACCAGCTAGACTTATTGATTAAACACATTTTTGTGGTTACAAGAGGAAGAGGTAAGGGTTGAGGGAATTGGATAAAGGGAGTCAAAAGGTACAAACTTTCATTTACAAGATAAATAAATAATGGGGATAGCACATACAACTTGATGACTATAGTTAACACTGCTATATGGCATATTTAAAAGTTCTTAAGAGCGTTAACTCTTAAGAGTTCTCATCACAAGAAAGAAAACATTTTTTCTTTTTAAAATCCATATGAGATGATAGATGTTAAGTAAATTAGTGGTAATCATTTCACCGTACAGTTAAGTCAAGTCACTGTGCTGTATACTTTAAACTTAAATAATCCTGTTTCTCAATTACATCTCGATAAAACTGGAAAACAGTATGCCACTAAGAAAACAAAAAGAGAACACACATAGTATGAGAAAATATTTGCAAATCATGTATCTGAAAACAGACTTGTGTCCAAAACACATAAAGATCTCTTACAACTAAATAAGACAATAATCGAATTTAAAGTGGGCATAAGATTTAAATCAACATTTTATCAAAAATATATGAATGACTAATAAGTAGATGAAAAGATACTCAACATCATTAGTCACTAGGGAAGAACAAACCCACTAAATGCTACAATGAGAAAGATAGACAACATCAAATATTAGCAAGGACGTAAAGTAAAAGAAATCCTCATATACTGCTGATAAGGATGTAAAATGATTGGCTACTTTAGAAATAGTTTGGTGTTCCTTAAAAAGTTAAACAAATTTATCAATTCATGTTACCGTAACGATTTTATGCAAAAGTTCCTCTACTTACATCCCCAACAATGAGCCTTTCTTCATTGGAAAAAGGCAATAAATAGTAAACTATTAGTTACTTAACTAACTATATTATAATTAACCAAAGAGTCTATATTAATAGCATAAAACCATAAAAGTAAATGTCAAGATTAAATTAAGATTAAAAAAAACTTTTCATATCTTCTCTTAGCTAAGACTCTAGTGACTGCTGTGCTCTCAATTATCATTAATAATCAGACAGGACACTGGTGAGATGGCAGGAGACCATGACATTTACAGAGTGCCATGAGTCAGGCACTGTTTAATCTAGAAGACATAGTGTTCGAGGCCTAAGTGGGTGGTTCTGTGTAGGATCACACAGACCTGACTGCCAGAGTGAAACCTTATGCTCTTTCCTCAATTTCATAAGGCACCTAAGAATTTCAGTTTAAAATTGAGTCTAATATTTGTAAATAATATGATTTAAAAATGTTATTCTCTGACTCTAGTAATATCCATTTAGATTTATGTATATACTAGAATGGATCGCTTATAAAATAGTATTATCAAATAGTGTTTTAAATATACTTGTATATACCGAAAGTTTTTTAAGTTTTACTTATTTATTTTCAGAGAAAGGGGAAGGGAAGGAGAAAGAGTGGGAGAGAAAAAATGATCAGTTGCCTCTCATGTGCCCCGCAACTGGATACCTGGTCTGCAACCCAGACATGTGCCCTGACAGGGAATCGAACCAGTGACCTTTCAGTTTGTAGGCTGGCACTCAACTCAATAAGTCACACCAGCGAGGGGAAGAAATGATTTCTAAGTGTCACATTATAAAGTTATTTTTAAATATTTTCAAAATCTCAAGTCCCAACTATTTCAATGGAAAATTCAGAAACGTTGAGTAAGGAATGTCAGAGGTAGCACTAAATTGTCATCGAAGTTAACAAAACTTCCAACCTCAGAATTCATTGATTCACTTAAAAATACTATTTAAACAGCTACCATGGCTCTTTCTGCCATCTTGGAGTCTGTGGAGGACTGCTGGGACCAAAACTTCTAAAATGACAAATATATCTGTAAGGCCACGATCCAAGGCCATCGCTGTTAGCTTTGGTGGGCTCTCCAGAACGAGAATGAGCACAGAGCTGATCTTAAAACTGGAGTGTTTATGCTCAAAATGTAACTGAACTGTATCTAGGCAGGTGTGCTTACATGTACAAAAGCAAAGAACAACATAGTGACTCCTGGTGGCAAACTGAGTCATCTGGGAAAAGGTAACTCATGTGCATAGAAATAGTGGCATAGTTCGTGCCAAATTTGGAAGCAATCTTTTATTAAGGTCATTGGACACAGAATTCATGTTAATGCTGTACTCCTGGAGAATTTAAACTTACTAAAAAGTAAATACATAAAACTAGATTTGTTCTCTTACTAAAAAAAAAAAGGTAATAGTTACTATGAGTGAGGCACATACCTTATTTTCTCAAGGAAAACACAACCTTTTCACTAGCTCTTTAATCAATACCAATACCACAGAAATGTGTAACACTTGTTTTGAGACCCAACCAAGAATTTTATACCAAGTTGAATATTTTGAGCTTCTATAAGGTTTTATTCAAGCAGTGTTGGAAATCCTTTTTTAATTGAGCTATCCACGTATAAGAAGGAGCTCAAAGTTTTGAGGTGTCATTTTGCTATAATTCATTCCATGTTTATAACATTATAAGTACTATTTTTGGTAGGACGAACGATGGGCTACACATGTATATTTTAGTGAGAAGTTGTGCTCTTTTCCAAAAGGCCATTATTCAGGCTGTCTCAAAAAGACTGCCATCAACATAAAAAGTAACCAAAAAATGAAAACAAAGGAGAAGAAATAAACCTGCTCAGCAACATTACACACACAAGCAACAGAACACCAAGTTTATACTTTACCTGCTGGTTTAAGGTCTCCTATTCGAATAATGTGTGGCCAGTGCTGAAGTGTTTTTGCAAAAAAGGGGTTGGTTACTCCTAATATGACTGAAGGCCTACATAAAAACAAAACAAAAACAAAGTGAGAAAAAGATCAATGTTCCATCAGTGAAGAATAGTTTATAATTTCTTCTGAGTGAACAATAAACAGATTACCTTTCCCTTCATTCAACGTACCACATATAAACTACATGTCAGACACAACATTTAGCACGAGGCATATAAAAATGAAAAGACACAGTCTTTCTAAAAGGATATACATACTAAATTATGATGCTAGAAATTATAAGACAGTACAAGTGGTATAAAATGTACAATAATTACAAAGGAGATACGTCTACCAGGGATTAAAGGATGACCTCATCAAACAGATGACATTTGCACAAAGATATGAAAGATGAGTAGGAGTCTTTGCCAAGTGGATAAAGGTGGTAAAGGTGATGCAAGAGAATGAAGAGTAAGTGCAAAGCAATGAAATGAGATCATGATCTGTTTGTAGAACTACATATAGTTCAGCATTCCTAGAGCACGATGTGGAAGGATGAATAGTCAGAAATAAAAATAGTTGGGCAGATGGTGACCAAATCATTAAGTACCAAGTTAATATGCTGTACGTTTGAATGTTATCTGGTAGGCAAATGAAAGCTTCTAGAGAACTGATTAGAGGAATGTCACATGAATGAAAATGTACTTATTATTCTGGGGAAAGATAATCCCCAGAGTAACCTTTCTAATAAGTACATTAGAAAAAGCAACAGCAAATATGATAAAGAAACAGTAGGACTGGGAAGAGGGTTTTGGAAAGAAAATAACAAATGTAATAAGAGCTATTTTAGGATACTGAATTGACAGAATTTGGTAAAACTTGATGTGCATCATCATAAGAAGAAATTTATGACAATTTGGGTTTTGACAGCTGAGCAAAACGTAGTACCATTCATGAAAAGAGTCAGAGGCCTAGGATTAGAGAAGAAAAAGAGGAACAAAAAGAATTCAGTTTGAATGTGTTTTGTTTTAGGTGACATTAAGATGTCCAGGTAGCAATGTGGTTAAAAAATAAACCCAGACATATAGGTCTGGACATATATAGATCTTGGCTGGGAAGATAAACTTAACTTCAGTCATCAGTGTATAGGCTTTAACAGAAGCTGTGGGTACAGATAAGATTGTACAGAAAAAATTATCAGTCTGAAATCAGAACCCAGAACACAACACTGGAGAACACCAACACCTAACGGGGCACGAGAGAAAGAAAAGACTGCACAGGAGAGCGAGATGCACCACCAGGCAGCCAGATGAGAGTGGTATCAACGATTAAAATATTTTCAAAGCCAACAGTTTAAATGTTACAAGAAAGGGAACCAAGAAATGGTTATTCTTCTTTTGTTATCCTAGAAACTTACCCCTGTGAAAAGAAGATGAGTAATATAACAGGCACTAAAAGGGAAAGGGTAAGATAATTTTCCCCCTTTTACAGACTAGGGAGAATTTTCATGTTTATATGTGAATTCAATGAAGAGGAAGGAAGGAAAAGGAAGTTACAGAGCAAGAAGAAATAACTGATGCCATGAGAAGTCCTGCAGTATGAAAAGACGATAGAACTGAAAGTACAGTTGGATGGCTATTAATGACAATATAGCTCCCACTTATAAATCATTCAAAGAAAATAAGATACTCTTGAAATGTGGCCCAGCAGCTCCTCAAACCTTCTTCTATAAAACTAATCTGCCAATAAGTTCAAAATTTAAACTTTTAAATTATTATCAAAAATGATTCTATATAATTCGTTTATAAAAGTAATAATTGCTTAATAGAAGTTACTTTGTTTACTTACGGGGCTTGAGTACGGGTAGTATATTCTTTGAATTCACTATCATGAATAGTGAAATAAGGTCGGAAATCACTGAAGTACTTCAATGGAGAAATACAGCTGTGGAGCAAGAAGAACATGTAAAACCAAGGACACAAAAATTAAAGGCCCTGCTCAATAACTATAAAACATCAATATACACAATATGCCCCCAATAGGCTAATTTATCTACTTCAATAAATGGTAAACTCATTTCCAAAAACTAGAAAGCAAATAGAAATACATAGTGTGAAATGGCATACTAAAAGAACTGGACTTGGGGCAGAAGATAGGATAAAATTCTGGTTCTGCCATTCACTAGTTGCATGCCTTTTACTTGACATTGACCATTCATACAGCTACTATTTATCAGATACAAACTTCATGTAAGTCAGCAATTTTCAACCATTTTCATCTCATGGCCCACATAAACTAATTACTAAAATCCTGCAGCACACCAAAAAATATATTGAGTTGGCCAAAAAGTTCATTTGCTTTTTTTCCGTAAGATGGCTCTAGTAGCGCTTAGTTGTCTTTAACTTCATTCAAAACAATTTTGTTAGATTGTAACATGACAGCTGTCATATCAGCATGCATTTAAAAAAAATCAAAATTAGTGAATTTTTGTGTAGCCATTTTAATATTAGAGATGGAAGAAAATATGCAACATTTTTAGCATATTATATTTTGCTATTTCAAAGAAAGGTAAAAAAGCAACTGAAACACAAAAAGATTTGTGCAGTGTATGGAGAAGGTGCTATAACTGATCGGACATGTTAAAACTGTTTTGTGAAGTTTTGTGCTGGATATCTCTCTTTGGACAATGCTCCAGTCAGGAAGATCAGTTGAAGTTCATAGTAATCAAATTGAGACATTAATTGAGAATAATCAATGTTATACCCACATGGGAGATAGCTGACATACTCAATATCCAAATCAATAAAGTTTGGTGAAAATGAAAAATGTGTCTCTTATGGAAAAAACCATATGGACTTTTTGGCCAACCCAATATTTTTTGACAAAAAAAAAATCATTATTTTTTTCAAATTATAAGAGAAAGTTTATTTAGAAAGTTACAGAGGTAACAGAAGTTGAGCCCGCTGGGCTGTGTACACTCAGGAAACAAGTTACAGAAGTAAAAGGAGGGCCCTTGGAATTTAAGAAGGAAAGGCAAAAGTCACATGTGCCTGGGGGGAAGAGGAGAGGGAAAGGAAAGGCACAGGCATGCTCCTGAGGAGAGTGCAGGTATAATTTTTATTTGTTCACACCTGATGACTATTGTGTTGGCTGTTGTCATTTTTTAATTTAACCATCTAAGGGAAAAGAGATCAGTGCTCTTGACTAAATAGCCAGGTATTGCATGTTTTAAAAATTCTTGCAGCACACCTGTTGAAAATCATAGGTGTAGGTGAATGAATGTACTTGTTGCGCAGGAAAACAAGAACATGGTTCCAGCCTTCACGACGCCTGCATTAATTTTCTTATCCATAAACTGGTGTTATAAGGAGCACTACCTTCTTACAACGCTGTTGTGTGGATGAATGCAATGTGTACAAACATGTAACAAATGGGAAAGTGCTGTGACTATCACCATTACGAACCAAATAGATATACTCACTTAACAAGTGCCAATACGGTCTCTGAGGACTCTGAAGGTGACGGTGCCATGACCACAAGGGGCTCCCCCAACAGCACTAGCTCCCAAAGCATCTGACTATGAAGGAAAACTGGGCAGAAGCATCTGAAACATGTTTTACACAGCAGAAATACTGTTATTTAACCAACCTGTTAAGTTCTCACATAACCATTCTAAAAACTTCACATTGATATATAACTTCTTCCAGCTATTTGTACCTTGACCTGATATACAAATTCATTTGAAATATGGCAATACTTAGTTTAAAAGCAAATGCTTTCCATATTAAAAAATGATGAAAACATATCACAAGTCGGAGTTCTTACACTAAACACCACAATGATTTCCCAGACAAATACTCCTCATACAGACATGCTGCATATTTTTATAGCAACCGTGGAATTAGGTGGATGCCTAGCAGGACAAAACTCTGGTATATTAATTAGCCTCAGACATTTGGTAACTTTTACTTATTTAGTAACTTATTCCTTATAGGGTAATAATTTTTCATAGTAGTTTAGGGGAAAAAATACTTATCTACTTATAAAAACCATAATTGGTCAACCTAGTTGAAAACATATATTTTTTAAAAAAAGAAAAGGAAAAGAACAGCATTTAAGTGCAAAAATATGCAAAAAATTTGTGAGACAGAAATTAGGAAAAGTTCATTTTAACTGTTCAATGGCAAGGAAACAAACGTGAGGGAAGGGGAAAAAAACAAAAAACCCCAACAAATAGTTCATGGACAAGGCAAATGAGATCTTTTTCCTCTTTCCTTCCTAAACAATTCAATCCTAAAGCAGAACATGGTTCATGGTAGGAATCTCTGCCAGGAGGGAAAGAGAGCCATGTCGGGCTAGAGAGGGTAAGTCAGGGCTTATTTGATATAAGGTAGATATCCAGGTGGAGGGGGTGGCAGATGGAACCCAATGTGTTAAGGAAGGTGTACATGTGTGAAGGTGATCTGGTTTGGGTGACAGAGTCCAGGCAGGGTGAGGAACATGAAGGAGCAGGGTGGTGTGGAGTATCGGAGCCACAGGAGGTTGAAGAGGTTATTCATAGCGGGGTGTCAGAGCAGGGAAATGGGGGTGTCCACATTAAGAGGTGGCCTGTAGCGAGGTGTAGGAGCACAAGTAGTGTAAGGAGGGCATCCATATGAGCATTGGCCTGGCACCGGAAGTCGGAGTACAAGAAGGGTGAGGATGAAATGACCTACTGACTAAACCTAGTGTGGGATACGGAACCCTGACTGGGGTAGGAGCGTAACCATGCGAGAGTCAATCTGGCATGGAATAGAGCCTGAGCAGGATAAGAAGGGTGTCAGCTGGGTCTGGAGTGTCAGACAAAGCCCAAAAGAGGTAAGAGAGGCATTTGCACAGAAGAGGGCTGCAGCAGAGAGAGATTAGTTACTAACAGGGGATTGATCAAATAATTAAGTTAAGAATGGCAGGAGGTAGTTATTCAGAAAAAAAGAAATATACATATGGAAAGGAAGAAAACTAGAATGAACCCTGTCATGTTGGATTGGAATTGGGGGCACTAGAGTGAGTTTACAGTTTTCAATGTATATATGGAAATAGACATAAATACGAGTGTAAAGATGCACATATATATGAATATGCATGTATGCATGCATTTACAGATATATATATACACACACATGCATATAATATTCCTTAGCTCTGTTCACTAAGATGGCCTAAAAATCAAAGATATCCAATAGCAATGAGCATAACTAGTAACCAGCTCTTGGCTTCTAATTCCTAGTCTCCAGTGGCTGAGAAGGGTGAGGGGAGACCAAAGCTTTTTGGAGAAATAGCTGATTCCAGGAATGGGCAAGAGAAAATAAGATAATCTTGGAACTCAAAAGAACTTAAAATACATGTTCACACAAAGACTTAGACACAAATGTTCATAATAGCATCATACATTATAGCCCAAAAGTAGAAACCATCCAAATGTCTTTCGATGAATTAATGAATAAACTAAATGTGGTATATATCCATACAAAGGAAAATTACTCAACCATAAAAAAAATGAATAATTCATGCTACTGCATGAATAAATCATGAAAACAATATGCCAAGTGAAAGAAGGTAGACACCAAAAGCTACATATTGTATGAGTCTATTTACATGAAATGTCCAGAATAGGCAAATTCATAGAGACAGAAAGTAGATCAGTGATTACTAGCGGCTGGGAAACAGAGAATGGGGAGTAACTGCTAATACGGGTACAGGGTTACTTTTTGAAGGGATGAAAATGTCCTGAAACTAGACAGGAGTGATGGTCGCACAACTTTGTGACTATTAAAAGCCACTGGATTGTATACTTCAAAAGAGTAATATTGTGGTATGTGAATTATATATCAATTTTTAATTAAAAAAAATAAGCCTGAAATATCTTACACCAGAAAGAAAGTGTTCAACGAATGAAAAGAATATGTCAAAAAAGAGGCCAGGTTGAAATGGTTCTAACTGGTCAAATTGGGGATGATCTGAAGATCAAAACAGATGACGGTCATGGATTTTAATAACTTGCTGAATAAAACAGGAAACAGTCCACACAGATACAAATAAATAATGTGATGTTTTAAAATACTTCTACAAATTTATTGACACTCCTTTTAAAACATGGAGCCTAATTTTCCCTTTTTAGGTGTGGGGTGAATTAGTGGCTCACAGATAGTGAATAGAATAAGGTAAAGTGACAATGTACAGTTTTGAAAGCTAAGTCATAAAAGTCACTGTGGCTTCAGCTTTCCTTCAGATCACCTGCTGATGTTGTGAGAACATTCAAGAAGCCCTATGCAGAGGTTCAGGTGGCTAAGAATGAGGCTTCCTGCCAAGAGCCACAAGGAACTGTGACCTCCAACAGCCAAGTAAGTAAGCCTTCTGCAGAAGCAGATCTCCAGCCCCAATTGTCCTACTGACTAAACCTCAGCTGACATCTTGACTACAATCACATAACATATTCAGAGCTAGAACCATCCAGCTAAGCAGTTCCCAGATTCCTGACCCTCAGAAACTGTATGAAATATTGTTTGTTCTTTCAAGCCTCTAAGTATTGGGGTATTTTATTACACAGCAATAAATAACTAATATACATACTTTCAAAGTATCTCCCCACAAAATACTTAATTACAAAGAAAAAGAAAAACGTATCAATGAAGAAGCTTAAAGAACACTGCTTTAATTTTTTTTATCCTCACCCAAGGACCTTTTTTTTATGCTTTTAGAGAGAGAGGAAGTGGGGAGGGATGGCAGTAGGGGAAGAGGGAGGGGAAAGAAACACTGATGCAGGAGAGAAATATCAACAGGTTGCCTCGTATACATGAAGCAACCAGGACAAACCCACAACATAAGTATATGCTCTGACTGGGGATCAAACTAGCAGTCTTTCAGTTTACAGGACGATGCTTCAACCAACTGAGCCACACCAGCGAGGGCAGAGAACACCACTTCAATAACACTTCAGTAACAAGGAAAGCCAAACTTCTGTGCTACCTCCTTACGAAAGATTCAGACCCTGAAACTAATCCTGAGTAAATTCCAGACAAACCTAAGTTTAGGGATTTCCTGCAAAATAACTGTCCTGTAATCCACAGGAATGCCAGGGTCGCAAGCATGAAAGGAAGACTGAAGAGCTATGCCAGACTAAAAGAGAGAGACTAGAGAGACATGACAACTAAATACAACAGATGATTATCAACTAGGTATTACTGCGACAACTGGTGATATTTGAATGTGGTCTTATTATTAGATGATATTAATCTATCAATGTTAATTTTCCCATGTTGATAGTTGCATTGTGTCCTAATTTATAGGAAATAGACACTTAAATATTCAGGGGCGATGAGGCATCAGGTTTCCAACTTACAAATGGTTCAGGGAAAACAGTTTTCTGTAAATCTGTGATTGTTTCAAAATTTTATATATATTATATATAATTTTAAATATATTTTTTTATATTGTAAGTACATATATACAGTTGTTCCTTGGTACTGAAGGGGTATTGGTTCCATGACCCCTGCAGATACCAAAATCCACAGATGATCAAGTCCATTATATAAAATAACATAGTATTTGCATGTACCCTGTGCACATGCTCTCATATACTTTAAATTATCTCCAGATTACTTATAATACCTAATATAAATTCCATGTAAATAGTTGTTATATATAGCATATTGTTTACAGTTTAATGACAAGAAGTCTGTAAATATTCAGTACAGATGCAATCATCACAGGCCTAACTACACAGTACTAATTAGCAACAACATAACTTTAAAAAAATATTTTTGATCCCCAGTTAGGGGGAGAGGAAGGGGAACACAATCACACATAACTTACATGCCTCTCGCTGTGCAAAGAACCAACAATAAGTCAGTAAATATCATGAGGTGAAATGTCCTGGACTCTAGGCAAGAGAATATCAGTCTCTTTTGACAGAAAACTGCCCTTGAATTAAAAGCCCAACTTAAAAACTAAATGAGAAGACTATTCCTGTGTTCAACAGAGAAATAAAAACCAAAGGCATGGTCCCTGAATGAGTAGTAGCTTAACAAGCCTTAATCTGGTGAAAGGAGGGAAACTGGCCCCTATACTCAACTGTACCTCTGACACTCACCTTCAAACAGCTTTCCAGGTCTGTCCTTTGCTCATGAGCTTAGTCTTGTATACAAATACCACCTTCAGTCTAAATGATAACCACTCAAACTCTCACACTAATAAGGTAAAATGTAAACTCTTCATACACAAAATAGTGTTGTCATGGATAAAGCATTAATCCAATCATCCAGATATTAAATGCTTGGCCCAGTACTACTTCTGTGTGAGGTTATTATTCTTCGAAGTTTGTTTTTCTCACCTCTTGAATAACAAAATTAAAAAACAACATACTAACTTGTTCCTTTTAAAGAAATAACAACATGTAATTCATATTCAGGAGAAAAGACACATAATCTTCAAAAGTGTTAGTGGTGGACATAATTACCGCAAAAGCAACAATGATTGATAAAAAAGCATTAAAACTTATGCTTAGTAGTCCAAAATAAAACATGTCTGGCAAACACATTCTATATTAACTTTGCCAGTTATTCAATTTATTCCTCAATGATGAAGTATCAAAACTATAAAAAAAATTTTTAGTATGTATTTCCTGTGATTTTCATTTATTTGGGGAATACTTCCCCTTTTCATTTTAAGAATGCTACACTTATTTTTTTAAGAAAATTAATTTGTTTTTAAGATTTATAATTTACATACAGTAAAATTCTTACTCTTAGTATGTATTTCCTGTGATTTTCATTTATTTGGGGAATACTTCCCCTTTTCATTTTAAGAATGCTACACTTATTTTTTAAAGAAAATTAATTTGTGTTTAAGATTCATAATGTACATACAGTAAAATTCACCCTTACCAAAGAGAGAAGCGTTCCATGACCCCCCCAGAGTTTCCTCATTCTTTCTGTAGTCCATTTCCCTGCCCCACTCCCAGGTGACCACTACTCTGATTTCCGTCCCTATATTTTTGCCTTTTCCAGAGCATTGTATAAATAGAAACATTCAGTAAGCAGCTCTTTAAAATCTAGCTCTTTTCAACAAACTGACAGTAACCAGAGGGGAGGAGGAAAGGGAGTAACAGGGGAAAGAAGGAAAAGGGTCATCAAGGAACATGTATAAAGAACCTATGGATAGAGCCAAAAGGGAATAGGATTGAGGGTGGGAGGTGGGACACAGGGGTCGGTGGGGTAGGGAGAAGTGGTGGCGGGAAAATGGAGACGACTGTACTTGAACAATACAAATAAATAAATAAATAAATAAATAAATAAAACTCTTTTTACTAAACATAATGCTTCTGAGAGTCATCCATGTTGCTGACTACATCAATACTTAATTCTTTTTTTTTTTAAACTGCTGAGTAGTATTCCAGGCACATGCACATAGCTCATTTTGTTTATCCATTTATTAGTATTAGGCTGGTATATAAAGCTGCTATAAATATTTGCATATAGGTGTTTGTGCAGATACATGTTTTCATTTTTATTGGGTAAATACCTAGAAGTGGGATTACTGGGATGTGCTAAGGTCAATGTATAAAACAACTTTAGCATATAAAATTAATCAATCTTTGAAGCAGTATTCCATGTAATTTGAAGGCCACACACACTCACACTCACAAATCCATGCATACACAAAATCAAACCAAAACCCATTCAGCCCTGGCCAGGTAGCTTATTGGTTAGAGTATTGTTCTGATATGCCTAGGTTGTGGGTTCAATCCCCAGTGAGGGCACATACAAGAATCAACGAATGAATGCATAGATAAGTGGAACAACGAATTGATGTTTCTCTCTCTCCCCCTCTTCTCTACAATCAATTAAAAATAAAAAACCCATTCAAAGTTTTTCATGTGACTCCTGATTACATGTATTAGTTTGTAATTGCTCGTTTCTAACAGTGGTTTCTTCAGTTGGACTATACATGAGAACCGCCCGGGAGCTCAAACTTGGGCACCAACCCAAAGATTCTTATTTAGCTGCTCTGTGTAAAGCATAAACATTTTCATATTTAGCTGCTCTGTGTAAATCATAAACATTGGTACTTTTTCCTTCTTTCTTTTTTAAGTGCTAGATCATCTCTGTTATTTTTATTATTGCATTTTGAAAAGTTTCAAACATACAGAAAAATAAAGATAGTAGTGTAAGAACCCCTTTATACATATCATCTAGTGTTAACAATATTTTGCTATTTTTACTTCATTTTTTTCTTACTGAAGTACTTTAAAATAAAACACAAACCTTGTGACATTTCACCTCAAAACACTTTAAAATGCATCTCTAAAAAAAAAGTGCATTTTTTTTTATTACAATACCATTCTCACATTGAACCAAAACAATTTGTTTCTACAATGTAATACCCCAATCCATATCCAAATTTTCCTAACAGTCAAAGCTCAAAACACACACTTGGGGATGAACCATTGATTTATATAGCATGTGACACATAATGATTACTTTCTTCCAATGTTTCCCACATTTCATATAAGAACATTCATTTTCTAAAGAAATTAACAACATCACAAAGCAAAAGAGTAAAAGCAATTAAAATTTCTTACTCTTTACCTGAAAAGATCTACCTCATGAACAGTAGGTAAAACAACAGATATGTGTGTGTCTGCCTAAGATATAAAAAAGAAAAAATAGAGATGTCACTAAGATTTACAGAAATTGATTTTTAAAATATGGCTACTTATTTCATGATCAATAAGCATATTGCTCTATCTTACAAGATTGTCATTATCAAAGAGAAGCCACAAAGAGAGTGTGTCTTAACCAATCTCCCCTAACAGAGCAGAAGGTCAAGGAAACACAGATTCCATGGTTAAAGCATTAACTCAATAGCCAGATTAATTCACAACAGTATGAAATACTAACATAATACTAGTGGATATATGTAACAGGCAAAATTAGCTTTCCTTCTGTCCTCCATTTTATCCAATTCAAAGAACAATGGGTGTCCTGTTTCAAATGAAAAATTCAACCACCGTCATAAACTGATGTAGCTTGGGGAAAACTGAAAGGTAATCATAACTACAGAATCCTTTTGACAAAGCTTCCTAAAAACAGAAGACTGCTGACCACTCTTTAAGAGGCTCTGTTAGAATTAAATCTTATTGAAAAATAGTATTTACTTTTCCCTTGTCCTCACAATTACAGTATAAATTCTGAGTTCTCGACAGTGTCAGAGGAAGAACAAGAAAAATACCTGAGAAACATTAGGAAGCTTATTATCAATTCATTTAAAACCTTTAATTAGGATATTTCAGTAATATTAAAAAATGTACCATAAACCCAAGAAACTGCATTTGCCAGTTTAAAATTTCTGTTAAAGAGACTCTACGTGCTCGATTATTCTATCAGAGTACCACACTACCTGCTGAGTTAACTGCACTATTTGAGTTGTCCCAGGTTTGTCATGACATGTGGGAATCCGTACCTTAAAGAGAAAGAAGAAATTAACTTTGGCAACAAAAGAATGAATGTCCTTTCTATAATTTGTCAGTCCTACCACAATGAGGGATCAGAAGTGCTCTATCCTTCTGATAAAAAGGTATACTAAGCAATGCCTAAAAAGCCATAAAAACAAAGTATTTATGTCAGATTAAAAAATAAAGTCATACTTATTTTCAGTCACAGCAGAAGTAAGTGAACCAAGGTCTCTACACTCCCATACATAAATCACCAATCCAATAAAAAGCAAATGTGTTGAAAAACAGAAAAAGGACATCAACTTCATACCACTTCCTATTTATTGTTCCAATATTTGCTTAATATCCATACCCAAACATACCCTTTTAAGCTTGCCAAACTATGGAATAAGTATCACAGGAAACCATGAGAATTCTGAACCTGGAGCTACAAGTATACTTTTGAGGCTTTCCCAGGGTAAAAACAAAACAAAACACAGCTCCTACAGAAATAAGCACATCTAAAGAGAGAGCATTGCCAAAAATAAGTCCAACATGAAAATGAACTGCAAAAGAACTTAGAGCACATTCATACAAAGCCTGAGAGCAAGACGCTAATTCATTTTTTTAAATAGAAGAAATAAAATTTAATAAAGTGCAGTACCCTAGGATAGACATGTTTATTCTGATATTACATGTTAAGACCATTTAAGACTAAAAACCAATGTCTTTCCTAATTTCTTTTAATTTTTAATAATTCATCCTCAATTCTACAAGTATTCTGCAATACCATTCATTTCTGGGGGGCCATGGAGTAGAATTCTAGGTGACATTTACATTTACATGTATTATATAAGAATGACCCCCTCATGAAAATTCTACAGGATGATGGGCCAGTGGCCCCTGGAATTGTCTAATGGTTCTCTGCAGCATAATGCATTGTGGTATCAAAAAAACCTAGTAAAAGCTAGTAAAAGAGCTGAATGTTATTAGAAAGTTAGAAAACAGAACTCAATGTGACTGTCCTAGGGATCTTTTAAAAAGGAGACAAATGAAATATAAGCTATTACCTTCATTACCACCCCCATAATAGGCAGGTATAATGTTTTCCCTGGCACTGGAGCAGGCCATCGATCAACATCATTGCAAGCTGAAAAAAATAAAACTTCTTTAGTATAAATGGAAATATTAAAACTATGAAAAATAGCATATTAAAAATTAAAACTCTACTGTCCATAGAGCAGAAAAAATATACCAGGAAGGACGGAAGAATAAAGGTAAAATAAGAGTATAAGTAGTGAAAATACCTTACATTTCACCAGAAATACACCTATTCTGGATATAAATTGATCAATAAATTTTTTAAAGCAATGAAATAATAGGTCTAAAAGGAGTTTTTCTGTTCATCTATTACTACTAAAATTAGCTGCAAAAGCACACCACCTGGCAGAGGCCTTTTTTCTGTGTAGAGTAACATAAGAATGTCTGTTTAATAGTACAGCATCAACTCAGTATTTATTGTTAGTCTATGGTGCAAAAGGAGATAATAAATGACAACAGTCTTTCATGTATCTAGGTAAAGATACCAGAAGAATAGTATTACATCTCTCTCCCACCATAAAATTCTTATTTTTTAGAAGATCAGTTTTTAACAGATCATTCCCAGTAAAATGTTTTAAACTCCATCATAAAGGTACTTAAATAACACAATGTTTAACTTACCTGCTTCCAAATAAGGTTTGCTCTTTTCAAAATACTCTGGTGCTATCTGTTTGAGTACAGTGTGGAAAAAATGGATATAAGGTAGTTTGCTGATCAAAACCAAGGACTGGAGGGAAAAAAAGAAACAATGTTTTTTTTTGTTTCCTAATGATTATAATTTAAATTTGTCATTTCTTACATAGTCAATTACTAACAAGCTAAATTCAGCAAAAAGTATGGATTTTGAAATACAAAGGCTTTTACAGTAGATGGGTTAAAGGAAACATAAAACTATAGTTGCAGAATGCAAAATGTTTAAACTTATTACTGTACTTTAAGAACATAAAAGCATATTCACAGATTTTCCTTCTTTCCAGAAAAAAAAATTTCCTATAAACAGAATGTCATGGATAATTTCCAAATCCTATCTCCTATTGTCATTAGCAAAACAGGAATTAGCTATATGAATTGTTATCAGAAAAGGCCAAATTGTAATGCTTTTTCAAACTAAGACTTGTAACTATTATTTTTTTTATTTTTTATTGAACTTATTAGGGTGGTGTTGGTTCATAAAATGATAGAGGTTTTTATTCAATTTATTTTATTGATTATGGTATTACAGCAGACCCATTTTTCCCCCTTTGCCCCCTTCCACCCAGCACCCACCCCACTCCCTCAGGCAGTCCCCACATCATGTCCATGTCCATGGGTCATGCACATGGGTTGTTTGGAACTTTACATCCCATGACTATTTTGTAACTATCAACTTGTATTTAATTCCTTCACCTTTTTTGCCCTGATCTCCCCAGTCCCTCTCCCATCTGGCAACCATCAAAGTGTTCTCTGCATCTATAATTCTGTTTCTGTTCTGCTTGTTTGTTTTGAATTTCAGATTCAATTGTTGATTGATATGTATCTTACTGCCATTTTATTGTACATGTATTGATCTTCATTTTCTTTAATAAATCCCTTTATCATTTCATATAATAATGGTTTGGTGATGATGAACTCCTTCAGTTTTTCCTAGTCTGGAAAGCTCTTTATCTGCCTTTTGAATCTCAACAATAGTTTTCCTGGGTAATCTTGGTATTAAGTCCTTGCTTTCCATTTCTTTGAATTTTTCTGCCAATCCCATCTAGTCTGCAAAGTTTCTTTCGAGAAATCAGCTGACAATCTTATATAAATTCCTTGTAGGTAACTAACTACTTCTCTCTTAATGTTTTTAATATTCTCTTTGTCTTTAACCTTTGGCATTTTAATTATGGTGTGTCTTGGTGTGGGCCTCTTTGGGTTCACCTTGTGTGGGACCATCTGTGCTTCCTGGACTTGCATGTCTATTTCCTTCGCCAAATTAGGGAGGTTCTTCTGTCATCAGTTTTTCAAATAGGTTTTCAATTTCTTGCTCTCTCTCTCTTCCAGGGCTCCCATGATGCAAATGTTGGTACACTTGAAGTTGTCCCAAAGGCTCCTTACAATATCCTCATTTTTTAAAAATTCTTTTTTCTTCTTACTGTTCTGATTGGGTGCTTTTTGCTTTCTTACATTCTAAATCGCTGATGTGAATCTCGGCTTCATCCACTCTGTTGATTCCCTGTAAATTAATCTTCATTTCAGTTAGTGTAGCCTTCATTTCTGACTGGTTCTTTTTTATGGTTTTCATGTCTTTTATGCTGTTAAAGTTCTCTGAGTTCATCTGCTCTTCCCCTAAGTTCATTGAGCATCCTTATAACCACCATTTCAACTCTGCATCTAGTAAATAGATTGCTTGTTTCCATTTTGTTTAGTTCTTTTTCTGGAGTTTTGTTCTGTTTTCATTTGACCCTTTCTTTCTCTTCTCATTTTGGCAGTTTGTTTCTATGCATTAGGTAGAGCTGCTACAACTCCCTGTCTTGGTAGAGTGGCCTAATGTAGCAGGGGTTCTGTAGGATTTAGTACACAGCCTCCCCTATCACCTACACAGCTTGTAGGCTGTGTACACCCTCCTCTTATAGTTGAGACTTGATTGCTGTTGGCAGGTCAACGGGAGGGATTTACTCAGGCCGAACAGCTACAAGTACTGGCTGTGACCACAACTACCAATCTCCCACCACTGCTGAGGATCAGCTGAGCAGGGGCCCACTCTACACAGCAGAAGTTACTTTATCAGGGCTCTGGTGCCCACTGAGTCCACCTCTTGAGTATGTTGCTTGTGGAGGTGGTTGGGTGGTGGTGCTCTGACATGATCTGTAGCTGGCTAGCTGGGTGCGTAGACTCCAGGCTCCCCAAGAGTGCAGGCCAAGGTCAACCATTGCCTGTGTCCTGTCTGAGGCCACCTGACATAAGCCAGAGTTATCTGCAGATGGCTGCTACTTGTGCTGGGCCTGGAAGTACCCAAGCTAGGCCAAACTGTGAACGAAAGCCAGCTGCTGCTAGTTCATGGAGCTTACTGAGGACAGCTACTGCTTTTTTGAGAGGATTTAGTAAAATCTGAAGCATAAGCCAAAAAAAGCCATTCACATGAGAAAGCCAATGGAAACAGCTTGGGTGAGCCCGACAGTTGAGTGGGGCAGAGCCTCAGGCAATCACCAGGGTAGGGCAAATATATTGATAGAGTCAGATATGGTGCCTGCCTGTGAGCTCTGTGGGGGAGTAGGGCTCAGAAAAGAAGAATGGCCTCTACCAGTTCTATCTAGCAGAAAGCTATCTGTTAGCTCTTGCCTTGGTCCCAGACACTTCAGTTCCTCTCAGTATACCTCTGGTGCCTTCAAAGCTGCTGCCCTGTTGCTGGAGCTCAGAGGGAGTGAGCCTGAATAAGCCTGTGCATGGGCCCTTTAAGAGAAGCTGCCTGGGACTCCAGAAGTTTTTGTCTTCCATAGCTTCAATCCCTACTTGTTTTCACACCTAGAAATTATGGGAACTTACCTTCCTGGCACTTGAATCCTTGGCTGGGGGCTCTGTTGTAGGACTAGAACCCTTAGCTCCCAAGATATACCTCCCAATTTTTATCTGCCACACACGGATGTGGGACCACTTATTCTGTGTCTCTGCCCCTCCTACCAATATCAATGTGGTTTCTTTCTTAATTCCATAGTTGCAAGACTTCACTTAGCTCAATCTCTGGCATTTCTGAATAATGGTTTTTCCCTGGTTTACTTGTAATTTTAATGTGGTTGTGCGACGGTGTGAGCGTTATTTACCTAGGCCACCATCTTAGTTTTCTCCCCTATGGAACACTTTTAAAAATTACATAGGTTTCACCCTGGCTGGGTGGCTCAGTTGGTTGGAGCATACACCAGTACAGTTACTGGGTCAATTCCCGGTCAGGGCACATACCTAGGTTGCAGTTTTGATCCCCAGTCAGGACGCATACAGAAAGCAACCAGTGGATGTTTCTCTCTCATATGGATGTTTCTCTTTCTCTAATCAATAAACATATCCTTGGGTGAGGATTTAAAAATTTTTTAATTATATAGGTTTCAAGGGTACAATTCTATAAATGCATCATCTGTATATTGTATTGTGTATTTACCGCTGCAAGTCAAGTTTCCTCCCATCACCACTTATCCCCACTTTGCCTTCTCCTACCTCCCCCAGTATTTTAGACTTCAATGGTGACAGCCACATACTTGGAAATTGTGACTTCATGATTTTATCACTTCGGATATATAACCTAATCTTGCTTTTCAAAATCTGTTTTCTTGAAAACTATTTTTTACCTTTCCATCCAGCACCAATTACTGGTCAGGGCATATTCTGGGTATGAAAGGTAAAAAAATGTGTTCCAAAAGCTGGGAATGCATTGAAACGAAATAATATTTTTTAAGAAAGTAAAAGATTGTACATTTAGAGTAAAAACTATGTCTAAGATATTGCTAAGGTATATTCACTGACTCTTCAAAAAAGATAATGCAAGTTTTTATTAGTTGTAACTATGTTATAATCTGTTTATTCTTTATCTTATTCTAAAATGTAAAAATTAAGCAGATTCTTCTGACTTTTGACAGTTTCATAAAAAAGTGTAACTTATTGTCAGGAATCTAGTACAGAGAGAGTAGAAAGATAAAATTCAATAGCAGGTAAAAATCTAGGCATAGATGTCTATAATCTAAAAAATAAAGATAAAATATAAATTCTAGTATGTTTAAAAATAAAATATCAAAGGCTTTCAAGACTATTCATTCTAACAGTTTCTATCTAACCACAATATAAAAATTTTTCTATTATAGTGTATATGAAAATTACCTTCTGAAAGTAGCCTCTTTTTAGAGTTTTGTCTCGAACTTGTCGGAAATATACATATCCATAAAAATAAGCAGGATCCTTCTATAAAAAAGTGACAAATAAGAAAAAAAAATATATATATAGCTATTCTTTATTATTAACATTAGGCTCCTGTATAAACCTGAACAGAATCATGAGGTATACTTAGTCTTTTCCACCAACACAAAAAATAATCACTGACGGTAACAGCCAGATAAAAATCTGCTAACTTGCCCAAAGATGAAATAATCATACTAAAGTCATGTTTCCCCTCTAAAACTTACTCTGCTTACATTCATCATTCATAGCTGTACTAGGTAAAGGGAGTTAGGAAACAAACTGTTTTCCCCCAACACATAGTTTTTTTAAAGTCCTGCCTACACTTGGCCAGTCTTAACAGAATGAGGTATCCTAATGTAAAATTTCAAGAGAGAAAAATAAAAGGAGTTAAATGACAATCTGACTAATACATAGCCAGTTACATTTTTACCCAATAATAATGAAACACTGTAGTGTTTATCAACATACAATTTGAAAGGTAATTTACATTCCAAAAAACTTAAGAAGTTTTAATATCCTAATGGAATAAATTATGGCCCAGTTCCTTATTTGTTATTCTTTAAATAAATACTTATTGACCACCAAATACTTGTTCAAAATACTATGAACAAGGTATTATGTTAGAGAAGATAAAAACATGCATAAGACACAGTTCCTTAAGGAAATCACACGTAAAAGTACAAAAACCACCATTATGGAATAGAAGGTCAAGTACCATGAAGAAAGCAGAAAGTGTTACAAAGAGGTCAAGGGGGAAGAGATTATCTCTATGAGGATCAGTAAAGATTTCATGGAGACAGCTGATTTTAAATTGGGCATTGAAGGATGTATATGATTTAAACAAAGACAAAGACATTCCAGGTTTAGAGGTCCAGGAGTTTCAGCAAAAACACAGACACAGAAAAAATATAAGCTATCCCAGGGAAAAGCAAGATAAAAGTAGTTCATTTTGGCTAAAATATGGAACATGTAAAGAAATGGTATGAAGTTGGAAACTGAAAGGTAAAGGCCTTATTTTAGAAGGCCCAAAAAAATGAGGGCAAGGAAATAGTACTATCATTAGCTCTTGATTCATTAAATAATAGGTAGTCATTTTAGATTTTATTTACTTTTAGGTAATATATATTTATACTTTGGCTGGCAACACTGTAAGATACATTGCGTTGGAATGTCTTTGGGCAAATTTCATATCCGCAATACCCGTAAACTCCCTCAACTGTAAAAGGACTGCTCTCAGAACACTACAGGGAAGACTAATGAGATAATGTGTGCTTATTAATACAGTGTCTAGAACATAAAAAGGTCTAATAAATGTAGCTAATATTATCATCAGTTGAAAGAATACGTTAATAATGACAGTAAAAGGTCATGGAAAGGAGTAGATAGCTATAAGAGATATTTCAAAGGTAATACCTTTGCTAACTAAAAGGGGTTCCTGTAATTAGTGGAACCAGGTAGGTAAACTGCAAATGCTGATTTTAGGCAAACTATGTCAAGTTCATGCTGTATGTCTAATAGGACATCCAGATGGCAATATTCCTCATGCAGAGTACAAAACAGAAACCTATAGCCTGGAATTACCTAAATTATTAAAAGTATTTTTAGTAAACAGCAAGTATAAAATAAAGCTCATTAAAAAATCAAAAAGAGAACCATAACTCTATCATAAAGTAGGTAGGGATTACCACAGGGAATCTTCGACTCTGGGATATATTTTATGGTATAGTATCACTCTACCACCACATCTGAACAAAGAGTTATTAACAAATGAAAGAAATCAATTTATTTAATTCACAATGGGCATTATGTTTCAAGAACACTAACTTTATAAAGTCTCTTTCACTCACACACTGAATCTTTATGAATCAGACTCAGGAAATCCATCAGTGTGATATATATTAACAAAACCAAAATATTTCTGAATGCTATGAAGTAACTGAATAACTGAGTTTTAAAATTTCCTCTCACATTGACATTCTTCTATTACTACTTTTCCAACCTTTAGATAAACTGGTAAATCTTTGTCAAACTGATCCAGGAAACAATGCAGTGACACCCTTCTCCCAGAAGACTGTCGAAATCTAAAACAAAACTGGGTATCTCCAAGACAACCTAATGAAAACAAAAATAAAAGAAATTAAGGATAGCACAGTATAACAATTATTTATCCAGTTTCATCAAATGTTAAGAGTGGCAAGGGTCCTAGCAATCATTTAAATCCATTCTATCACATTTTTAGAGAAGAAGAAGGAGAGCTCATGAGAGTTCAAGTTGCTTGCTCAAAGCCAACTTCATTGGTTAGAGGCAAAGCCATTAGTAAAATATGCACTTTATTCCTAAGTCCCTCTATTATTTTTCCCATTCCATTTTTCCCCATGAAATTAAAATTTTTTGAAAACTGTATGTAATGTGGACTCACAAGCATAATAATGAGCAAAAGAAGCCATGAACAAAATAATACATACTGTTCAAATTCATGTATATAGTTGTTTATAAAAAAGCAGGCAAAACTATAGTGTTTAGGGGTGCACAGCTGGGTAATAAAACTACAAAGAAACTACAATAAAACTACAAAAAAAAAAAAACTACAAGAAACTTATTACTCTAAGAATTAGGATAGAGGTGGTTACTTTTGGGAGGGGACCTGAGGGAGCTTTTGAGGTGCTAGCAAAGTTCTATTTCTTAAACTTGTATGTGTTTTATATTTCACAATGAGACTTTTTAAAAAGACTTTATTTATTTATTTTTTAGAGAGAGAAGGGAGGGAGAAAGAGAGGGAAAGAAACTGCAGCAAACCAGGGACCTGGCCCACAACACAAGCATGTGCGCTGAACGGGAATCGAACCAGCAACCTTTCAGTTTGCAGGACACCACCCAACCCACTGAGCCACACTGGTCAGGGTCACAATGAGATTTTTTAAAAAAGACATCCTACTGGAAGAGCCCAATAATAAACTTAATACTTTAATCATTTTAATTAAAAATAAACTTTTAACCTTTAATCATTTTAAATAACCTCTTAAAACACATACACTTTACCTAAACTGCCAGGCAATAACTACAAAAAACAAAAACTGTGAATACTGTAAAAAACAAAAGACATATGAAGTTACTTGTCACTCAAATTTTTCCTGCTTACTATATTTAAAATTCTTAAGATTTTATTAAATGTAAAATGTGCTCAGGATTTTATTACTTATTATTATGCTCAAAAGTACTTTAGCATATGAAGTTCTCAACAAAAAAAGGAAAAGCTTGGTAATATGTTTACGTTTTTTTAAAAGCAACTCAGTATGTACACCTAAATGCAATTATAGAAACTAATATTTCTTTGGTGGTGGAAGGAAGAAACAAAGGGAACTGGGGGCGGGGGAGGGCAGTTGTCATGCAGGCTTTCAAGGCCAGGCAGGTTCACATGGGACTCCGAAAGACGGAAGAAAGTTCGCAGAGCCTTTGGGAAGTCTGACATGCCTTTATCCCCAGATGGGGTGATCCACCCACAAGCTGCAAGTGGCACCGTGGCAAGTCCTGGCTCCCTTATATATATACTAAGTGTGCACAAAGCTGCAAGATGCCAATACTGACCTTCAGTTATATAACAGACCTCCATTCTACACATGCAGGTCCCTACGCAACGGTGCTATAACGGTGTTATATGAACACCGTTAAATTTTGTCTGCCCTGACATCCAGGTGATGGAGCCTGACTGACTCCATTTTCCCTACACGGGTCAATTCAGTTTCTTTAATTTTTAAAGCAGGCGTATTAAAAATAAGGAAAATAATTGAAACCTGAGAAAATAAAAAATATTCCTAGCATTGTTTTAGTTCAACAGATTTATGTACTGATGGTTTAATTTTTCTTTTTAGAAGACATTATCTTTAAAAAAAAATCTACAGAGAAGTACAAACTAATTTCTCTGAGACAATAAGATAGAACAGGAATATGCAATAGATTTTAAGAAAGAAATATTATAGTATCTGGAAAATGTAAGGAATGCTAAAGCTTCGTGGAAGGGAAGCAATGAGCTCCTATAGCCTCAGATCCCTACTCGCCTGGCTCCATTCTCAAATCATGGGCATGCTGTAAGACCTTTCCAGTGACTAGCTGCACCCACAAGCTGTACAGAATTGGTCAGAAGGCTAGTTCACCAGGGCAAAAAGGCTTTAGTAGTGTCCTTATGAACTGAGGTAAATGGTTTCCATTTTATATTTCAATAATCTGTCCATTCACATACAAAAGATTACTAAAGAAATACCAACTCCTTATCTGGCTTTGTTGAGAATCTTTGTTCTCCATCCTGACCTCACCATTATTATCATAGGAAAGGAGGCATTACAGATTGGCAACCAGATTTTTCACATTTGCCTTGCAGAAAATGATACCTTAGAAAGGGAAGAGCAACTTGATTCCCTACAACCTCATAAATATATATTGTCAGTTTGTCTATATAACAAGAGACTGCAGTTCTACATAAGCAACATAATGATTAAATGTGAAAGATGGTTAAATGAGTGTGATCATGAGGAAAAAGTTATGATCTGAGGAAAAAGAAGTCACAAGCCATGGGACCTAGTCCCAGGACCATCAATAATTGCCTTCTAATTAACCTAAGGTTCTCAATGTCCTTAAAAAAAATAAGGGGTACCACAAGACAATCACTTAAAGTCACGTCCAGCAGTTACATTCAATGATTCTAAAAAAAAGTCCGTAACAGACCAACAACTCTACTGAATTCCAAGAATCATGCATCTTACCCAATATAAAGAAAAATAAAAGATCTATAAAGCTCCAAGTACTCCTAAAAGTTATGCTATGTGTGTCACAGCTTTCTGATTGTAGCATCAACGTGGAACATTTTAATGGAAATGATTTTTTTCTTTGTATTAACCAAAGTATGAAGATTAATTTACACAAATTTTAAGATTACATGGCAGCTCTCTAAGGAAAATACACCTTAATGCTGAGTTCTTGATCAAGACCAGCACAAACCCTTTCACATGATAGTACCAAGTGTTAAGGGAACAGCAAATCTGCTCATTAAGACTCCATAGCTTTAGAAAAAGTTGTACTTAAATTAATCTAACACAATTTTTACTAGCCTAGAAAACCAAACTAATAATCCAATACTCTTTATTTTTTTGGTGTTTATGTTTTACTATTTATTTATACTGTGTTCACGTCACTGTAGATTCATAAACAGAGTCCATGCCAAAATATTCTTAATCATTCCCCTTTGGGTGACTAAAAAAGTAGTAGTTCCCACTTTTCTTCTCTAATTCTTTTTTTTTCTTTTTTTGGTACTTTATTGATTATGCCATTACAGTTATCACAATTTTTGCCCCGCTGCCCCAATCCACCAAGCACCACGCATACCCTCTGGCAATACCTCCCTTTAGTTCATGTCCATGGGTCATGCATGTAAGTTCTTTGGCTACTCCATTTCCTATATTGTTCTTAACATCCCTCGGCTACTCAGTACCTACCATTTTGTCCTTCTTAATCCCTGCACCTTTTCCCCCATTCTTCCCTTTCCCCCTCCCAACTGATAACCCTTCAAATGATCTCTGTATCTATGATTGTTTGCTTTTTTGCTTAGTTTGTTTAGATTTAATTGTAGACAGCTGTGAATTTATTGACATTTTAAAATTCTTAGTTTTTACATTCTTTTTCTTAAGTAAGTCCCTTTAACATTTCATAGCATAATGGCTTGGTGATGACGAACTCCTTTAGCTTTACCTTGTCTGGGAAGCACTTTATCTGCCCTTGAATCATAACTGATAGCTTTTCTGGATAGAGTAATCTAGGTTGTAGGTCCTTGTTTTTCGTCACTTCAAATACTTCTTGCCAGTCCCTTCTAGCCTGCAAAGTTTCTTTTGAGAAATCAGCTGACAGTTTTATTGGGAAGTCCTTTGTAGGTAACTATCTGCTTTACTCCTGTTGCTTTTAAGATTCTCTCTTTATCTTTAACCCTTGGTATTTTAATTATGATGTATCTTGGTATGGTCCTCTTTGGGTCCATCTTGTTTGGGACGCTCTGTGCTTCCTGGACTTGTATGTCTATTTCCTTCACAAAATTAGGTAAGTTTTCTTTTATTATTTTTTCAAATAGATTTCCTTCCAATTTCTTCCTCTTTCTCTTCTCCTTCCAGCACCCCTATGATTTGAATGTTGGTACATCTGAAGTTGTCCCAGAGGCTCCTTAGCCTATCCTTGTTTTTTTGGGTTCTTTTTCCTTCTTGCTATTCTGATTGATTGCTTTTTTTTCTTCCTTATGTTCCAAATCATTGATTTGATTCTTGGCTTCATCCACTCTACTGTTGATTCCCTGTAAATTTTTATTTCACTTAATGCAAACTTCATTTCTGCCTGGGTCTTTTTTATGTTGTTGAAGTACCCAATGAGTTCCTTGAGCATCCTAATAACCAGTGTTTTGAACTTGGCATCTGATAGATTGCTTATCTCCATTTTGCCTAGTTCTTTTTCTGGAGTTTTGTTCTGTTCTTTCACTTGGCCCATATTTTTTTTATCTCCTCATTTTGGCCCATATTTTTTTGTCTCCTCATTTTGGCATCCTCTCTGTGTTTGTGTCTATGTATTAGGTAAAGCTGCTTTGACTATGTGTCTTAGTACAGTGGCCTACTATAGAAATAGCATACCCATAGTTGGATGGGGCAGAGTGCTAGGTAATCGCCAGGGCAGGGCAACCCATTTGAACCAAGCTGATAGTCTCAAATATGGTATCTCTGCTCTATGGCTCTGTGTGGAGTCTACTCAAAAAAGGGACAATAGATGCTGACTGGCCTCTGGGGTTTTGTCCAAGAGGACACTGTCCCATAGCACTTACCCTGATGCCAGACACTTTAGTTTCTCCCCGTGTGCCACTGGTGCCCTTCCAGCTGCTGCCCCAGTGCTGAAGCCCAAAGGTTGTGAGTCTGCATAAGTCCTAAGTCCAATTCAGGCTCTTTAAAAGGAGACACCTGAGAACCCGTCAGTTTCTTCTGCTACCCCAACCTCCATTGGTTTTTACAGCCAGAAGTTATGGGGACTTTTCTTCCTGGCACTGGAACCCTGGGCTGGGTGGTCTGATGTGGGGCTGGGTTCCCTTGCCCCCAAGTGAGGTATGCCGCCCAATTTTTATCCACCACATGTAGGTGTGGGACCACCTGTTCCGCGTCTCCACCCCTCCTACATGTCTGGATGAATGTGACCTCTTTAATTCCTTAGTTGTCAGACTCCCATACAGATCAATTTTCTGGGTGTTGATTCTGTGTGTTAGTTGTTTTGTATTTTAGTTTTAATTTTTGCTATGGTTATGCAAGGAGGCGAGCCATGTTTACCTCTGCCTCCATCTTGACCAGTCTAATCCAATATTCTTTAAACCAAGGAAATTCTGTCATCTTCCCCCACCAACCTTTTCCAAATAACTAAATTCTTATAATAGAAATCAAATAGAATCCTGGGTTGAAATTATTTTCATTATTTAGTCACTATGGCAGAAGTAATTTTTCCCTTCCAATATCAGTTGAGCACTGATATTTATTGAGTGCTTACTTTATTCCAGGCACTGTTCTAAATGCGTTAGAGACATTAACTCATTTGGTTTTCATGCTTCTCAGCATTGAAAGTCTCATTATTATTCCTGATTATAAGGAGTAAAAAAAGCAGAGAAAAGTTATGTAATCATCCAAAGAAATAAATTCACTAAATGGTAGGCGCAAGAATTTAAACCCAAGAAGTCTAAATCTGGAGCTGGTGTTCTTGACCACTATTATATCATACTAGCTCTTTCAAGTCAAAATGGACTTCAAAATACTACTTCCATTTATGTGAAATATCCAGAACAGGTAAATCCATAGAGACAGAAAGCAGATAGGTGGTTGCCTAGATCTGTTATCAGGGACTGGGGTGAGAAAAACAGAGTAGGGAGTTTCTTCTTTCTTTCTTTCTTTTCTTTCTTTTCTTTCTTTCTTTTCTTTCTTTCTTTCTTTCTTTCTTTCTTTCTTTCTTTCTTTCTTTCTTTCTTTCTTTCTTTTCTTTCTCTTCCTTCCTTCCTTCCTTCCTTCCTTTCTTTTTTCTTTCTTTCTTGCTTGCTTTCTTTCTAGGACATAAGCTTTTGGGGTTTTTTTAAAAGATTTTATTTATTTATTTATTTTTAGAGAGAGGAGAAGGGAAGAAAGAGAAGGAGAGAAACATCGATGTGCAAGAGATACATCAATCGGTTGCCTCACATGCCCCCACAACTGGTGACCTGGCTCACAACCCAGGCATGTGCCCTGACTGGGAATTGAACCAGAGACTTTCTGGTTTGCAGGCCCCAACTCGATTCACTGAACCACACCAGCCAGGGCAGAGTATAGAATTTCTTTTTGGGTGATGAATATTTTCTAAATTTGACTGCAATGATAGTTGCATGATGCTGTGAATATACAAAAAATCATTGAATTATATATTTCACATGTGTTAATTGTATCTCAATAAGGCTTTTTAAAAAATGTTACTTCTCTGACCATTAGAAAGGTTGAAAAACAAAATTCCTTCTGAAAATTCCTCTCAGATCATGGAGTTCTTAAACTCACTGTTCTCTGTGCAATACACTTCATTCAAGCAAGCAGCCAGTCCTTTCAGTCATGGCTCCTCCTATATGAACGCTATGCGGTATGCCAGAACTCTCCTCTCATTTTAAAATATGAAGGGCATAGAGTATTTTTGCAAGCTTCTTTTACATCTACCAATTACACTGAGACTACAAAGCTAAAGGTAAACATACTTCCTGTACCTAAAATATCATTTAAAGATTTGAGGGAAAAAAAGCTTAAATATTTTCCCTAAAGGGAACAGATTGTTTATTTTAAACATTGTTTATTATAAAGATTGTTTTAAATTTAAATTTTAAAGATTGTTTATTAGCACAAATACAGCTACAGAGCAGACCAGAATGCATAAGATGTGGATAAAACATGAGATTTCATGCACTAACCCTATCGTTGGCCTTCAGCTCTCTGTAGTCACTATCCCTGTGAGTAAAGCAGCTGAGTTGGAATTGGTGACAAACAGGAATTTGAAATAGGGCTTTTCCAGGTTTAGTCCACAGGCTGATACCAGTCTACAAATTCTTACTGATCCATGATGAAATAAATATCCAAGTTGAGAATAAGCATTTAGGAACTCTTAACAGCAATTTGATATTGTCATGACAAATCTGGACTTTTATTTTGCATTTTTTGGTTTTTCTCCCTTAATTTTTCTAGTAATTCCTTTAAAATGTATTTTATAAAAGCATTGGTCCACAAGATGGGAAATTAAAAAAAAAAAACTGGCTCCACATATAGTGTGAGAAGCACCGCTTTCGGCACTGGGAGGTGTAAAGCACATGATGATGTCCCTGCTGTTACAGAGAAGAAATCTGTTGAGACAATATTTTCTGCATATCTAATCCACCCAGAGCAAGGATTAATCTTTCCCTTGAACTCACCATTACTTAAAACTTTACTAATGCTGAGTTTTCTCTCTGGACATGTTTAAAACATAGTGGTTACAGTCCCTGGGTACCCATCACAGCCTAAGCCTCAGGAACACCTGTACCCAAATAATGCTAATGCTGAACAGTAATGAGAAAAAATATCTGAAAAATATTTATCAAAGAGTACGCATACTTTAAATCTAGGCTCCTAGGATAAAAGCCATTCAAATGGAACAAGAAATAAAAACCTAAAAACAAACCAATTTCTAAAGTCATGAGATCTAGAGAGGTGGGAGTATGTATGTGTATTGGTAGAGGGTGGAGGAGGTGGAAGACCGGCAAATCATTCCATTGGAAATGCCAAAAGCATTCCTCTTTACCTGTACAGCATAAAAGAGTCTAAATGTTCTTTTGTTTTTTAAAAGTGTGCACCATGGAACAAAAACCTAGACTTTCCTTAAGACTACTCTACTGTGCCTAGACTTCTTCTCATGACAATAAAGCTATTTCAGTAAAAATTAAATCCATTTCAAAGTTGGCACAGTAATCCCAACCTCATTTTAATAAAACACTTACATGAAACAAACTCTTTGAATAATCAAAAATGAGAATAGTGATCTCAAATATATACAAAACTCACAGTCTCTTGCTGTCTTGATTAAAATTCATTTGTTAAGAGGACAAAATGTTTCTAAGATCTTTTGTCAATTTTACTTTTAAGTACCAACCTGACTTCAAATAAAATGAACCACACTTCATTTGATGCAGATCTTATGAAAAAGGCATTACAAAACATCTGTAGGTCACTCGAATGCCTGAAATCATGATCGAATTCTGATTTATACAAATGTATACTTGAGATTAACTTCCAAAAAGAAAATGATGCATGGAGAGACTGACTACAAAACTGGAAATGAACAGGCTACCTGAACATCATATAATTAACCTCTTAGCCTTGATGCTCATGTAGAGATACGAAAAAGAAAGCAAGCCATGAAAAACAACTATGATCTGGGAGAAGAGAGTGTACAGTAGATTCTACTGGAACTCCAATCACATAATCAGCTTATCCTGCAATTCATACAACTCAGCTTATACTGAGCCCTGGAAGTCCAATCCACCACTCACTACACTCAAAACTGCATGTGTGGACTCTGTAGGCAAAACACATTAAAAGATTCCAATAATTCCAGGTCAGAACAAGTGCCCTACTGGGATCTTTTTATTTTATTTTACTTTATTTTTTTACCACAATAGCCTCTTTTTTTTTTTTACATATTTCATGAAAGTAAGTTCCAAACATATTAGAAGCAACCTCAAAAGGAAAGAAAACTGAGCTGTCTTTGCTTCACAGGCTTTTAACTCCTGTGTGTGATCATAGAGGTTGAATGCTCTGTTCACCATGCACCTGAAAAGCTGTTTTAAAAGTGAAACACAAGAGGTAGCCTGAACAGTTTCAACAATTAGGATCACACAAAGGGAGAGTTTGAAAGAGACCAGCAAAACCAAGTCTAAAATACTCATATCAAAACACAATAGGTTTTCTAGGTACCTATTCCAAGTACTTTCCACATATTAGCTCAAATACATTATTGAAAAGAACTTATGGTAATGCTTTATAACCAGGCTCACCCTGTTGGTTTCTTTTTAAACTCACTGCTTTTACAGAGTTCTTGGGATGCTCTCAAATCCTAAACAAAAGTAAACTATCTTACTACAAATACTCAAACATACCAATGTCACTGATTTTCAGTCTCTTCACTATTTCAATAGTGTATTGCTCCTTGATGTTTTATTGCATTACAACATAATTATTTTAAAAGTTGAACCAACTATAATCAACAAGACATGACTAGGCATTATGAAACTAGAAAATCTAAATCACTGGCATGTTAGTCTGAAACTGACTTTGCATACTAATATGCTGTTTTAGTCAATTTTCATATATTAACTGTATAATCCATATTCTTAGTATAAAATTCAACAGAAACACCACATGAAAAATAGTTACCTGAATTTGAATCTGGAAAAGACAAATAGCAAATATTGGTTTTCTGAAAAAGAAAACAAAAGCTATATATGTTGATACACACACACACCAAAAAAAAAAACACAAACAAATATAACAGTAGACTATACAGAGCAATATTTTTACTTACTTCTCTATCAGTAAGTTTGGAATGTTGAGGATAAATTACCTAGAAGAAAAAGAGTTAAATTTTGTTAGACAAATATATTGAGTATATATTATAAACATTAGTTAAGTATTTCTAAAATATTAGTTGTCTATGGTCAAATAGTTTCAAGAAATAGTTCACAAACTTTAACAATGAAACATGAGAAGCTGAGGGAATTGAGTAGGATTTACATTAGGCCAAAAAAAACCCCTTTTTGATTCAATGTTATCGCTAAAAGATTGGTAAGATCTTGAGTTATCAAGAATAATTTACCAACTGAATTACCAGAAACTCAAAGCTTATTGAGTCTTTTCTTTGGTAGCCTAAAATCTAAAGAGAAATTTATCTATCAACTGGTATCTATTTCAAGCAGTAATAGTTTTATTGAGTTCAAAAAGTAGTATAAATTACTAATTTTAAAAATGAAGAAAAATTAATTATCTGCTGTTTAAGAAATTTCAAAGGCCATCTCCCACCATACAGCCTATCCCAATTCCCTCCAATTCCTTTAATAATTCCACTTCTCGAGGCAGGTTGGTTTAGTGTCTATAGTAACCACAAGCCACATTGAGGGAAATTTCTCCCCTACAGCCCAAGAAAAGAAAGGCAGACTAGGTCAGAAAGCTAGGAACAAGCACTAGTAAACACCAGATCCAAGGGCACCCAATCATAAACCAATCAACTGCCTGGATGTGGCTGCATATAAAAATACTGCTCAAAAGAATACCAATGCTTAAGTGGACCACCCAGATTCTCTTTGGAATGTAAAGAAGAGATGGGATTAGGAGCAGCAGGTTAGCTAGAGGCTGAAAACAAAAAGGAGAGAAAAACAACACACATTATGTTAATTATTTATGCATAATTATAATTTAGTAGCTAAATTATGTGAATGTTGGGTTGCTAATGGGAGATCCATGACTTCCTACTTTTGGAAGAATCCATGAGTTTTTCCAGTCCCTAGGGCTGCCTGAGAGCCTGAAAATCTTCCCTTTCCAGAAATAACATACAGTAATATGTTATAAACTGTATTAAAGTGGTTTCACATATTTATTCCATTTATTTAGTTCTTACAATAACAGACAAGGCTAGTAGTGGTATCCCCACTTCATATGTAAGAAAACTAAGGTGAGAAAAAGGTTGGGAGAATTAATACTTAATGAGCATCTTCTGGAGTTTTTAATTTTCATAACCCTTTCAATTTTCCCCATCTTTACCAAAGAGGGAATGAATTCACAGTAGTTAAATAACTCTCCCAAAACTTGTCTAATAAATGCCAGAGCTAGGACTTGAATTTAGGTCTGATTCCAAAGTATATAAGCCACCATTCTTCACTGACTCTATAGTAGTGATCATTAACAAGCAATCACAGCCATATATATCCAGGTGTATGGGGAGGGTCCACAGAGCTAATATGTTACATGAAAACCACCCACCATTCTTGAAATAGAGAATGACACCAAAGCATATTCTCTCTACCTGCCCTGCTTTGTATCCCATGTTCTGACCAACCTGACTTAACCTCTGTCTCCACAACTCATGAAGGCAAGAACCTGGTCTCTTGTTCACCACTCTATCTTGACACCTAGAGCAGTCTCTGGTACATAGTAGACACTAAAAAATATTTCTTCAACCAGTGAATATACCCACAAATTAAGTCCACTCAACAATCAGTATTTAATACATAATTCTTCTTTATGTGTAGATATATCTCCTTTGAGACCCTTTTACCTTGTTCCGTTAAAGCAGAAATGGCAAGTTTATAACCTATTTAGCTATATGAGTATTTTATGAAAATCTCATTACATCTAACTCACACTGGAGTTTCCTCGTCTAAAACATTGGCAAGTTTGGTGGCCTGTACCAAGCCTAATCTTAGGCTCTAAAATAAGTTTTATGTAAGTGCCCTTCAGACTTTTATTTCTTGTGATTAAAATATCTACTCAAAAGCAAATACACAATGTTTCATTTCTTTTTCTTTTACATAATCATAGTGGTTCCTTTTGGACTTTGGTTTCGTATGGTTTAAAATACTAGCAGGACAATACAGAAAAAATGTTGGTGTATTTTACCTATATGAGTACCCTTAAATATACATAACACATGTGTATATGTATGTGTGTGTATTTAATAAGTTTATATATGTTATATATATTTAAGTAAGTCAGAAGGATATAAGAACTACGTAACCTATCAAGTCTGCCTTTTAAAAATTGTACTAATCTGTCAAACAGAATTCTCGAATCTCATTTTAATGTACTCTGTTCAGACTCCAGTGTTTTATTCTGGACTGGCTATAATATTTTTAAAAACAGTGTATTATTATATGCCATAACCATCCAAATGTTCACTCTATAATTAAGATCAGAAAAATCCACACATTTTTAAAACTTCAATTAAACCCCCATCTAAAAATAACAAAAGAAAATTAACCATTGCCAAGTATCTTGAACTGTACAAATTGTAACAGTTACTACAATTATTTTCTATGTATATACCTTATTTCATGGGGAAAAAAGTTTAAATATAAGTTTGGGGAAATCACTGTTAGTTAGCTCCGGATACCTGAATGGAACTAATCAACTGTGGATTGGCCCCAGTATCTGGAGATGCCTCTCTGCTTGAAGTTTTCTCTCGCCACAGCTCAAGTCCTGGCATCTCTGCCCCCAGGCCACTGGCATTCCTGGGAGGCATTAAAGGGGGACACAGAGCATCAGCTAATGTCACCCTGGCTGTTACCTAAGATAACATCTCCTATGTCATAACAAATGAGATAGATAGAGGTGGCCAGGTATTAAGTCAAGAAAAAAAGTAAGTTTTATTTGATATAATCATCTAGGCCTAAAAAATGACACAGCATATATATTTCACATTATGATAGAATAGGAAAAAATATGCCCCAGCAAAATATTAATATATATACTAAAAAACAGTATTATAAAATGTTTTAAATGGGGCTATTCTCTTTAAAGTATGTCTATCTGCCACTTGCCCTGCATACTCTAACATTCACACCATAGTGGGGGAATAAGCATGGTCCCAGGAAAAGGAAAATTAGTAATAACAGCTTACTGCTAGTATCACTTGGACATGGGAAAAGTTCATACCTACATGCACCCCTGTTGTATATAAATGGGTGCCTGACTATTGCTGTGTGCCTGAGTATCTGTCTTTATCGCACAGCCCAGCTAACATCTCAGGTTTGGAAAAGATTATTATTTCCCCAGAAACGCTTGCCTTATTTCCTTCATAAACATTAACTCATATACAAACATCATCATAACCTTAAAGAGAGGATGCATTTTATCACATGTGGCATTCTTTCCAATACTGTATAACCTCAGACTAATCATCAGGACATTCCAGAAGAACTCAATTTCAGGGACATCCTACAAAATACCTGACTAGTACTATTCCAAAATATAAAGGTCATGAAATATAAGATTAAGGACTTCCATAGACAGGTCAGGACTATGGAGACATTGACACCTATATGCCATGTAGAAACCTGGATTGAATCCTGAAACAAGAAAAGGGCACTAGAAAAATTGGTGAAATCCGAATAAACTCTGTTGTTATATTCTTAGTTATGATTACTGTACTATGTTTATGTAAAATGTTAATTTCAGAGTAAGCGGGATGAATTAATTTTGTAGTAACTCTATGTAAATCTAAATTATCTCAAAATAAGGTTTAAAAAAAGTAATACCTCTACTGCATATCCCACACAAAAAGTAACCCAAAGTGAATCAAAGACCTAAGTGTAAGAGCTAAAACTATATCTTAGAGGAAAGCATAGGAATAAATCTTTATGACTGTGGATTAAGCAATGGTTTCTTAGGTATGGTATCAAAAGCACAAGCAACCGAAGAAAACATAAATAAACTAGACTTCATCAAAATGTAAAACTTTTGTGCTTCAAAGAACACTACCCAGAAAGTGAAGACATCCCACAGAGAGAAAACATATATCTGATAAGGGCCTAGTATACAGAAAATATAAATAACACATTTCAATAATAAAAAGTCAAATAACCCCATTTTTAAATGGGCAAAGGATTTGATTAGACATTTCTCAAAACTATATATATAAATAAATGTTAAATTAAACACATGAAAAGACACTCATCATCATTAGTCATTAGTAGTGCAACTAAAATTGTAAGATACCACTTCATACCCACTAGAAGGCTGTAATCAAAAGGACAATGCTGGCCTGGTAGCCCAGTTGGCTTGGGCATCGTTCCATACAACAAAAGGTTGTAGATTTGATTCCCTAGTTAGGGTGTGTACTGGAGGCAACCAATGGATAGTTCTCTCTCACTTCAATGTTTCTCCCCCCGACCCCCACCTTTACCCCCTCTCTAAATCAATGAACATATCCTTGGATGAGGATTTTTTTTTTAATTTTTATAAAGAGCAGACAATAACCAGTGTTGGCAAGATATGGAGAAATTAAAACCTTTATATATTGCTGATGGAAATGTAAAATGCACCCATACTGGAAAACAGTTTAGTAAATAGACCCAGCAATTTCACTCCTAGGTATATAAACAGGAGAAGTGAAACATGTTCATACAAAAACTTATAAACAAATGTTCGTAACAGCATTATTCATGATAGCCAAAAAGAGGAAAGAATCCTTATTTCCATCAAATGATGAACAGATAAACAAAATGTGATACAGTGCATCCATGTAATGCTATAAAATTCAACCATAAAAATGAATAAAGGACTAATACATACAACATGAATGAACCTTGAAAATATTATACAAAGTGAAAGAAGCTAGACACAAAAGGCCACACACAGCATGATTCCATTCACATGAAATATACAGAATAATAGAGTACATGGAGACAAAAAGTGAATTTAGTGGCTGGCGTGGGGGAGGGGGGAGTTGGGAGTGGGGAGGAAATGGGTCATAACTGAAAGGGGATAAGGGAAATTTCGGGGCAGTGATAGTAGTCAGTTTTTTTATCCCTATGGTAGTGTCATGGCATGTTCACTTTATAAAAATTCAAA